TCGAGACAACAGATGGAAAAGTTTACTTCACTGACCAACAGTTCATTATAGAACATCTCATTGACTTAGAGTCGAAATATTCTAAACTTTACAACAAACACAAAAAGTTGAAAGGAAAACAAAAACAGATGGCATATGATATTTATGAAGATGTTGACGACACAACCATACCTGCAAGTGAGGTAAAGTCAGAGGAACCGAAAAGTGACGAAAAACCGATAGAAGAAGAAAAACCAAAAACTGAAGATAAACCAAAACCAAAGTTTAGTTTCCAAACTAAACCAAGTCAACCTTCATTAGCTGGTATGGGTTGGCGTCAAAGACTTATGGCAGCAGGTGGTTATGTAAAGTAAAGAAAAAACATTTTTTTATTTTTATAAAAATGCCCCCGTATAGAATGGATAGAAGGTCTGCTAGAATAAAAGCAGAGTTAGAAAGATATGGTTGGAGAGTTTCAAAGAAGTTTAAATATAGGAAGGGAAGACCCATAAAAGTCTATGACAAATTGTCTGGTCTTCGCTATGAAATGGACTTAGAAACAGCACGCGCAAATTATCCAAACAGATTAGAGAGGTTAGAAGAAGAACGTCTTATGGACATGCCTTTCGATGTTAGTGAGCCTCAAGTTGAAGGACACGACGGCTTTGCCAGATTCTACTGGAAACATGACGAACAATTGCATCCTTTGAGAAGGAAAAAAGGAAAAGGTGAAGACAAACATGCTCCCATGGAAAGAACAAGATATGCATATGAAAAGTACCGTGAAGTTAGAAGTCAAATTACATCTGGTCGAACCTTTACAGTAAACTTTGACGAAGGAAAGAACAAAGAAGGCTTCATGGGTGTACTTGCTGCCATACAAGATGGAAATAAGAAAGGATACAATCTCAGATTGACCATAACAGATTTGGATGGTCACATTTACTATGCACATGGCAATGTCACAACAGCTGCAATGCTTCTTGACGCTTTCAAGACTACAAAGAGAGAACAAATGGTTGACTCCGACTCAGACATTTTGAATGCAATTGAAGGAATTGCAAGTGTAAAATTTGAATGGTACCAACCGAACCCTCAAGCAGTCAGACAACATGCTGGATACTTCCCGTTCATAAATAAGTCTGACATTGACTTGACAAGGTATGGAATTTACAATTCAATTGAAACAATTGTCAATGAACCTTGTATTCTTACATGTCTCAGGAACTCTGGTCTTGTTACAGATGAGAAGATGAAGTATCTTGAGTCATGTGTGAAGACAAGGTACATTCTCAGAGGTCAATTGGCAAAAATTGCACCGTTGGCAAATGTGAATATCCGAGTCAACATACCTACAGCTAAAGGTTCTTCACATGACGACTATGTTGTTGACTTCAAATTGCCATGGTTGAAGATTGTACTTGTCCACAACCACTTCATGTTGAACGAAAGTCTTACAAACCCATTGTTCGGAAAAGGCAAGTGCAACATTGTCAGAGCTGTTAACATTCTTTTCGAGAAAGGCTTGTTGGAACCAATTCCAGATGACAAGCTGACAGAAACTTTTGTACCAAAAGACGAAACAAACTTTTCATTGTTAGCAAGACCAAAAGTTGTTCCAGACAAAGTTCTAGTACAAAAGAAGTACACAGTTCCAAAAGGAGTTGGATTGTTCGGATACCAACCTGAACCAGAAGAACTTCCAATGAGGTTGCAAGAACTTCAAGATGCTATAAACAAACTTCCATTGAGAAATCCAATCGACGTCAAATTGTATTGGAGAGCATCAGAGTTAGCTCAGAAGGTTTTATATGAAACAGGTTGCTTCGACGATGTTTATGAGATAACAGGAGAAGTTTCTCAGAAGATAAGAGACTCGCTTGAATTTCCACGAACTGGTCCGATTGGATGCGACAAGTTCGACTCAGATGAAAAGATATACTATGTCGACCTTAACGCTGCATACATGAGGTTTGTCCAATATATCCCGACTGGAATTCCAAACGAAGACGGTGAGTTCCCAGGAAGGAACTATACAGTTGGAAAAGTCATACAACAACTGTATGATATTAGGAAAGCTTCAAACCCCAAACTTGCAATGACACTCAAATTGCTTATGAATTCGACATGGGGATATTCCATAAAGAAACCTCAAGAGATGAAGAGTAAACATTATGAGAAGGTCGACAACTTTGTTGAAAGGTTTTCTCCTTTTGTTTTGAAGTACGAATTCACTCAAGGTCAAAGTGGCTTAGTAACCACATTAAAACCTATTGTCGAACATTGGTCCTATCCTCAGTTCGCAAAGGCAGTCCTTGACAACTACAACAAATTCTTCTCCGAAGTCAAATCCAAAGTGAAGGTTTACTATGAGAACATTGACGCACTCATGACGAACGAAGAAGGATACAACAAACTCATTGAAATGGGTTTAGTCGGTGAAAAGATGGGTCAATTCAAATTGGACAAAATTTTCACCGAAGTTCATGTCCTCTCCAAGCGTAAGTACTGGGGCATACTTGAAGACGGCACAGAAATAAAACATTGCATGAAATAAAAATTTTTATTCGAATTTGAATCGGACAGGTCGAGTTACACCATTCTTGGTCTCAAACTCATATATAACCTGTTTGTTTGTATTTTCGTCGACTATGGCACGAGACACGAACATTGACCAAACGGACAAAAAGTGTCATTTCAGATGGTCCCGCAGCCAATCGCATTCGAGCACTTCGAAGAAGCCTTACGTTCCAAGGGAGAGGGTGTCTGGTGCAAGGCAGAGGTCATGAGACTCTACGAGCAGTACATCCTCAATGCCTGGGAGGACAAATCGTCCTTGGAATGGCAATTCTACCAACTCCTCTGGGACGACCTCCTAGCAACTGGGATGACGAAAGAGTCCAATTCAGGGTCAGGAACTACTTGTCCAAATTACCCTTAATTTAACCCACTTAATGAACTAAACACCTAAATTTACTCGGGGTTTCCCCCTAAAATAAAATTTTTTTACTCTTAGAACCACTCGAGGTTCTCCTTACGGTTGTTGAGCTTGTCACCGTCAATGTGTCTGACCCTCGTCTTCTTGTCTGGATTTGGAACCCATTGAATTGCGACAAGCTTGCCCATGGAGATTGAACCGCGATTCCGAAGGTTAAGGTTCAAGTGTCCCAAGTTGTTGAGGACTGGGGTAAGAACCTTGCCTGTCTCCTTGTTGCGGATTTGATATGGGTAGGGTTGGGAAATTTCGTAAGCGTCATCGGCAACAAGGGTTGCCCAAACTTCCTCTTCTTCGTGTTTCTCTTCTTCCTCTTCTTCCTCTTCTTCTTCGTGTTTCTCTTCTTCCTCGACAATTCCTTCTTCAATTTGGTACTCACGAATTACGGTGTTGGAGGTTCTGTCCTTTCCGAGTACCTTCCAGATGGCGTCTATCTCTTCGAAGAAACGGTAGATGAGTCTGGCAAGGTCTCGGTTCTCTCTCTCGTAATTGCGCAAGGTTTCCGTCAAATCATTCAGGCATTTCTCATTGGAAGCTTGGTTCATGAGGAACTCACCTTTAAGTCCCTTCATCTCTTCCATAAGACTACTTTGGAGAGTCTTAACGGTGTTTGTCAGATGAGCTTTCAAATTCAAAATTTGAATTTGAACTGGGCGCTTGTCTGGCAACATTGAAAGGACATCTGCCATTGTGTTCGGCTTCGGTGCTTGTTCGGACATCGAAAAAATGAAGTGGTTTGAGAATGACGGTTTTACTTCAAAAAGCTTGTTATGACGGTTAAGTCATACAACAAGTTTAAAATAATATCTTGTTCTTCTTCTGAACGTTTGTTGTCTCTTCCGATAAAAGTTTCGAACATGAGAACCAAAAAACGTTTTTTGAGATTGCGGAAGAGTTCAGGCAAACGTTCATATTCTGGATATGTTGGGAGCAGTTCAAAACATCTGAGCTGACTTTCGGACAAAATTGGGACAATGTCAGAAAATTCATCTTTGGTCGGACTGCTTGAAGGTAAGTCCCTTACATGTAAGTAGCTCTGGTAAAGTCTTCTCATTTCTGCTAACTTTTGGAGTATAGCTTCGTAGTTTAGAAGTTTTAATTTTAATTGTCTTATTCCACTCTTTACTTCTAAACGGTAAGTATCCATGAGGTCAAGAGTAGCTTTGGTAGCTTTAAGTGGAGCTATCTGTTCCTTGACTTGTGCAATTTTGGTTGCAATTGTGGTTTGAGCTCCTTCAAGTTCGCCGTCTATGTCGTTCTCAACGCCTTCAACCATGGCTTGAAACTCTTCATCGGTCCATTGAGATTGGTGTGGGACGAATTTAACTTGCTTCATTCAAAAAATGAAAAAAAATGTTTTTACTCAAAACGTTAAGGTTGACTGAACTGGTTGGATGTCGCCTTCACAGGTTATGTAGAACGGCTGACCCGAGAAGTGAAGGAGAGACTGAATTGCCAATTTCATATGGGGTAGGGGGTTCTCCTTGTTTGGTATTTTTATCCAAGGACGTTTGTTTAGGAACTTAACAAGAGCTTCTCTTTTGGCGTCCTTTATGTCGTCGTAGGCTGTCCCGTCTGGTATTTGAATTGGAATTCCAGTCGAAGTCTCGAGCTGAAGTGTAGACCTTCCAGAAATACTGGTGAACTTGACCTTGGGCTTCATTACCCTGCGCAAGTACTGCTTAACAACTTCATTTATCTCTATAAGGTAAATTGCCTCGTCAAATCCTTCTGGCATTCCGAGTCCTTCCATCCGACAGGAAAATATTTTCCCGACAACTGGAAAATATTTTCCGGACAACTGGAAAAAATTTTCCCGACGACAGGAAGAACTCTTCCAGTTGTCCGTCCGTAAACCATTCAAATTTTCGAAAATTGAGAACTTTTTGGTCGAACTTCAGGAAAAGTTTTTCCTTCCGACAGAAAAAGTTTTTCCTTCCGACAGGAAAAGTTTTTCCTTCCAACAGGAAAGGTTTTTCCTTCCAACAGGAAAGGTTTTTCCTTCCGACGGTTAAGCCACAAACAGATGTCCGACGTACCACCAACCGAGCCCATTCCCAAACCAGAGGAACCTAAAGCACCAGCCCCTGCACCTCAGCAACCTCAGTTCCAGCAAGTCCCTCCACCAAATTACTACCAATTTCCACCTCAAGGTTACTACCTACCACAAGGCTTCCCGAACTACCCTCCTCCTCAGCCTATGCCTTACTTCCCCAACCCTTGGATGTTCCAACAAGCTCCACCCCAGCAATTCCAATCTCAATCCCAATCGAAGAGAGACCAAGAGTTCGAAGAAGGTCTGAACCGTTTACGCAAAGATTATGCCACAGCCCCGATGGAAGACGACAGGCTTTCAGTCTCTTCCCTCAAATCGACCGATTCGACTCGTACCACAGATTCGGTTCGTGACCGTGAAGACTACCTCAAGCAGTCTGAGAGACTCTTCATCCTACAACCATTTACAGTTGGAGCTCTCAAGAACATGCGCAATTACGAAGGTCAGACACCAGCTGGAGACCGCAAAACAGACGTACTCGCAAGAGCAGTCCAACTGGTCAAGACAAAGACGAGATAGTTGACTTCATTCTTGCAGCTTGCCCATACAAGTAAAAAAATAAACAATTACGAGTTAAACTTTTTACTCTTTCTTTTCTGAGTTGTTTAGAGCTGGTTTCTCTTGTAGGAACCTTTCGTACTCTTCCATGGTCATGTAATTGCGAATTTGGTACGCAATTCCAGGTTCGTTGTTTTTGAACCTTACGTATGTAACGCTTCCATCCTCCTCAGGGAAGTAAGCTGCTAACATCTGACCAAGTTTTCTCGGTGACTCGGAGCTCATAAAAATGTCACTTTTTAAACGTTAAGTTTTTAGTCTTATTTTACCCTTATTTTACCCTTTGTTTACCCTTTGTTTGTCAAGGTAGTATTGGAGTGCAATTTCTCCAAATTCTCTGTGTCGGAGTTCTTCAGCATTTTCCAAGGTGTACCTGGAGAACTCAAAGAAGTTGTCAAGAAGATACTGCCATGCTGCTCTTCTGAGTTCGTCGGTATTTTGGAAGTGTTGCACCTTCGAGTCTTCGGACATGAAAAAATAACACTTTTTCTATTAAACCGTTTACAATTTGAATTTTGTTGCTGAATTCAGCAAAAATATAATTTAGGGTAGAAGGTTAGATATAACCTCTTTTCTAACCTCTTTTCTAACCTCATGAATTTTCATGAATTTTATACAGAAAATGCTTGTTTTGAGGTCGAGCCACTTTTGGCTCCACCGTATTCTTTCAACCAAAACTCATGAATTCGGCAAAAATATATTTTAGGGTAGAAGGTTAGATATAACCTCTTTTCTAACCTCTTTTCTACCCTCTTGAATTTGTCATGAGTTTTCCCGAAATAAAAAATAAAGTTGGTTTTTTTAAAAAAATATTTTTTATTTTTATTGTAAGAACATGTTAGCAACAACAGCACCAAACTCGTTAGTCATGAACCCAACTTCAATGTTAGTAGAGATGAAAAGCTTCATTCCTTCTTCATATACTTTCGAAACAAAAATCCAGAAGATAAAGCAAGAACTTTTAACAAGTACTTTGGACTGTTGTGCGAAAGATGAAACAAATGAACAGTATCTTTATGAAATGCAGGATATTATTGACCATTTACCCAAATTGCCTGAAATTCAGCAACAAAAGCTCACTATTCCTGAATTCGATGAAATAGAAGTCAAAGCAACTGACTCAGTAGAAATAAAGAAGTTCATACGAAAGGTAAACTATGAGTTTCTTGGATTTCATTGCAACCACAAAGTCATGGACAAAGATTGCGATATGGTATATAAGAACATCTCTGACATATACAAATCTGGGGAGTTTAAGACCTACGACAACTTTGTTTCGTTAGTTGCAAAATGTGTTTGGGAAATAAGAGATAAAGATAGAAGAGGTAAGGTATGGAATGAACAGATAAAACCAGCAACTTTTGAGTTAAAGAAAACCATTGACGCCTTAGTCATACTAGCAGGTAAGGTTTCAGAATATAACGCAAAAATGAACCCACAATGTTCTAAATGTAAAGCAGCAATGAGGAAATATAACTACTCCGTCAAAGAGATAGAACGTATGAGAAACGACTATGCTGACTTAAAGAGGGAGGCAGAGAAACCAGCAGAAGATAAAATGGACATGTTGACATTTCTAAACAAAAACTATCCAACAGCTGACGATTTCCTTCTTTCAGATGTCAAGAAGAAATATAAAGAAACTTTCGGCATTGTGAAAACATTCGATGTACTGACAGAAGAAATAGAAGCTACGAAATTGTTTAGAATTTCACGAATTCACAATGTTTACCATGTAAAACGCTTATAAAATAACTGGGGTAGAAATGAGGTTAGATATCGGGTTAGATATACCCATCTACCCTAAAATATATTTTTATTGAATTCAGCAACAAAATTCTGAGTAAAATAATTTTTAGGGCTTGTGTCAAACCGTTGAGTTTTCACAAAATTTAAAAAATAACGTTTACCATGTGAAACGTTTATAAAATAACTGGGGTAGAAAAGAGGTTAGAAAAGAGGTTATATCTAACCTTCTACCCTAAAATATATTTTTATTGAATTCCGTATGAAATTTCATGAAGAACAGCGAGTAGTGAAAAAACCCTGGTCGCCAAAACTCTTTATTTTTCAAGCTTGACTTTTTACAATTTGAACTTTGTTTGCGTAGATATGAATTCTGAAAGAAGTATGAGGGTCTTGTATGACTTTGTACTTCTCCCATAGTTCATGTCTGTCAAACTTACCTGCCATGGACTCTTTCATAAGTTCCATGAAATCGTCTTCGGACAATCCAGGGAAAAGTATGATATCAGTAAGTATTCTCTTTACATCCTTACTTAAACTCTTGGCTGTCTGTACACAAATGACAACTGAAATGTTAAAGTGTCTGAGCTTCTTGAGAATTCGACACATGTCTTGTTCTCTGTTCTTTAACAAAGGATGAGAAGCAAAGTCATCTAAGATAAGAAGACATCTATGAGGGTAAGTCTTCCAATCGTAAGATTGCAATTTCTTCGAAATGTATTCTATCTCTTTCTGTTTGTTTCTGAAGTGTTTCTTCTCTAATATTCTCTGCATTTCCTCATTTGGGTCTTTAAACTTAGAATTTATATACTCATTTATAGCATTATACTTCAAAACTCTTCTTTGGTACTTCTTTATCCAATCTAACAACTCAGTATCCTTTATACATACTAACTTAGACTTCTTTATAATACTTTTGAACGAATTGACGGTTTGGTCAAATTGACCAGAAGTCGAACAAATAACAACTAACTCATAGAATGGGTTCTTCTCATCTAGTTCTTGTTTTGTGCAGCCATTTTAAGATAAGTGAAGTCTTACCCGACCCAGGTGGTGCAATTAGACCTGTTATAACCATTCTGAGCAAATAAGAACTTTTCATGTATAGGCTTTATCTGAGCATTTTCTAACTTCCTCTTGTTCTTGTTTAAAACATTCTCAAATTTCTTGTCAATGTCAGCAAACTTTTTTTCTAACATATTTTTAGAAAAATTAAAAATTTTATCTTTTAGAAAATGTCTAGCGATTTCGCTATCTATATTCGAGACAAACTTTTCGACTCTAAAACTTCTGTCGACCATAAAATCTTACATAGTGTAAACAAGAAAGGTGAATTTGTTCTAAAGTTCTGTTTCTGGGAATATGACAAAACCATAAAACATTAGGCAGAGAAGTCTTTAAGTTTGTCAATGACAGACTTGTTGACAGAGATGACGCCGATTGGAAAGATGAAGTCCAACAAAAGTTCTTAGAATGCAAAGAAGGCACATGCGCTGTTCTTGAAGATGAAATAGAAACAGAATAGAAGAGCTATTAAAGGACAAAGAACTTTTACATAAATATGGTTGCGCCAAATTTGACATAACTCCACCAGAGAAAGAAGAGAAGAAAAGAAAGAAAAGAAAGTAGAAGAAAAGAAAGTAGAAGAAGAGAAGAAAGAACCTGAACCAGTTCCAGAGAAAAAGAAATTTGACATGTAAAAATAAAATTTTATTTTTAGAACATTTCTGGGTCAATGTCAATGTTCTCTTCCTCTTTAGGAGCAAACACTGGCTTAGACTCTAAAATCTTTTTACCCAATTTACCTTGAACTTCAACTATCTTAGACTCATAATATTCATAGTCGTCTGCTTTTCTTTGGTTCATAAGGTATAACAAGTTTGTATGCTTTGCCTTCTTTAAGGTTTGAGAAACCTTCTGTCAAAATTTTCTTTGACTGCTAACAAACCTTCTATGTCTAAGTCTTCAAATTTCGCACCATTTTTAGTCAAATAGCAAACTTAACTGGTTCGATGTTCCAAACTTTGTCAAATGTAGACTTTTCAAAATGGTAGAAGTAAACATTCAAATAGCGAATGGGTCTAGTTCTTCTTTAAGTCCTGACATATATTTGTTGACTGAAATATATTTCGTCATCTTTTCTATCGGATAAAAAATATTTTTTTTAAATTTACTCATAAAAATTATTTCTTTCTATATTTGCCATTCCGAACTTCGAAAAGATGTTTATACCAGCATAGAATTTTTCTCTAGAGCTTAGTCTTATATCGTTTTCATGACAATATTTTCTATATTCTTCATATAAAGCCTTTTTTTCATACATTTCATAAGGACAATCTAACCAGAATAGCGCATATCTATTTTCGTTATCTAGGTCTGTTCCAACAAACTCAGCGTACATTTCAAATAAAATAAAAATATATATATTTTTAAAATTTACTCAGAAAAATTTTTCTTTGTATATACGCCGTTCTGTATGTCTAAAAGATTTTTGACATTTGCCAAGAATGTACGTTTAGAAGCTGCCATATAACCATATTCTTGACAATACTGTTTATATTCATCGTACAATGACCTTTCATCTAAACACTCAAAGTCGCTTTCTTCTATGAACAGTTCATATACACTCTTGTTTGCTTCTAACAATGTTTGTCTTTCTTCGGTATGTGGAATTTGTCTTGGATTGAACTTAGAAATATCTAATGTCATGAAATATGAGAACAAGTGGTTGTAAAAGTCAGATGTCAAAGTTTCTGCTAAGTCGTCAAAATATTCTGTATCTTGCATATGAGAATCTGACGTTCTGACAACTACATATCTTCTGTCAGAACTTTCTAACTTCATCGGAACAGTATTGTTTGAAACCATAATGAAGTTTGCAACATTCTCACAAACTCTTTGGTCTTTATATTTTCTTTCAACAACTCCAACTTTGTCTGTTATAAGACTCTTCAAAGCATCTGAGTTCAAAACTTTTGTTGTATCTATACTTTGAAGTTCATTGCAAACTATAAGTTTCATATTCTCTATTGAAGAGTTAAATTTACCGCAGATGTTTTCTAAGTTTGTCATATTCGGATTCGAATAACCTTCTAACAGTTTGCACAAAATATCTGTAAAGAAAGTGTTCTTACCTGTTCCTTGTTTTCCAATTATAATGAGAGCAGTTTCATTTTTAGCACTTGGATGTTGTAAGATGTTTGCAAACCAACATAAGATATACTCATAGACTCTTTCATTTCCATTGCATATAATTTCTTTGACATGGTCTAACCAAGCTTCTATAATATTTTCTTTCCATTCTACTTGTTCGTATTTATATCCAGTGAAGATAGAATAGAAGTTTGGAGAAGGTGTATAGAACTTTATACCTCGAACTGAAAAATCTTCTAACTTTGACAATAAGATATCCCAAGCATCTAACATCTTCATGCCAACTTGTACGACTTTTATTTTCTTAAGTTTCTGTCTACATTCTTGTTCTGAAACTATTGTCGCTTTAGGTTTGTTAAAGACAACATCCCATTCTTTCATGACATAACATTCTGGGGCAGAGTCAACATAAATGACTAAACGTTTCAAATTCTCGACTGCTTTGTTATAGTCTCGAAATGGACACATATTTCTGAACGCTTGGAAGTCATAAAAATCTGAAACATCTATTCTGTACATTTTTATAAAAATAAAAAAAATATTTTTTTTATTCTTGAGCTATTTGTTGCATTTGTTGTTCTTGAGCTATTTGTTGTTGAAGTTGTTCTTGTAATACAATACTTTCACCAGTTGCATCTTCCAATTCGAAACTTTCTGCCGTCATTGACAAGTACATAGGACATAAAAGTTTTACAGGAACAAAGTTTGCGTCGACTAAGGTTAAGTTTATGTTTGCTAAAGTGTTTGAGTTCACTAAAGCTGAAAACTCTGCATTCGAATGAACAATAGGCAAACCAGCAGAGAAAGTGTTGTTTATACGCATGAGTATCTTTTGGTCATAGTAGTTTCTGTCGACATTCGAATAACACTTTGAACCTAAGTTTGAAACAATATATAAAATAGGTGTGCTTAAAGTCAATGGAACAGATAGACCTTGTATGACACCTTTTCCTGTTATAGGAAACTGTTGGTAGTAAAAACCAGATATAAGTTTTGTATTATAGCTCATATCGTTTATACTAAACTCAGTCGGACATCCAAACATAATGAAACCTGCTCTAGTTGCAGCACATGTTACATCCGTCCTTAAAGTATTAAATAAGTCAACAAAACCTGTTGGTGGTATATCTGAGTAAGTATCTTCAAAGAAGTATTTTTTACCATTCACAACAACAAGTCTTCTGGTGTCAAAAGAGCAAAACAGGCTTTAGTCGTCATCGTGTTTAAGGTCAGTTTACAATATCGTCCTTGAGGACTTTGTAAGTTTGTTGTTATAGAATTATATGACTCAGGGTTTTTAGTCGTAATAGTATAAACCACTATGTCTTCTGCCATTTACTTAGCAAGTAAATTTTAATGAAATGTTGTGGTCGTCAAATATTTTTATGACGTCTGGGAAACTATATTTTAAGTTCAACGTTTCACCTCCTTTCATAACGTATATCTTGTCAATGACATTATATGAAACACCACAGCAACTAACGTCGGTTCTATTTCTTTGATGTTTATATCGTCTGCCTCTGTCAAAAGTTTCAATAGTTCTTTCAAAATTTCATGAGGTGCGATGACATATGAGTTCACTTTTACAGGGTTGTGTTCGACCAAGTTTAACATTATACCTAAAGCTTGACAAATCTTCTCCTGAGTTTTAAGTTTGTCTTTAAGTTGTTGGTAGTCGTTTCGAATATCTGCAACAGAACTTAACTCTCTGCTAACTTCAGGGTATGTTGGTTGTTCTTTTACAGGAACTATTGTTATACCATCTTCGTCCTCGTATGGTTTCCCCACTTCAACATCTCTTTCTTTGACATTGACAACAACACTTTGACTGTTTTGTTTGAGTTGGTGAATTTAACTTCACATCTGCCACCGCCATTAAACCTTTTGAAACACTTACGCTTCTATTTTTCGGAAATGACATTTTACTTAGAATAAAAAGATGGACGTATTTGAGTATCTCTTCGAATTGAAGCAAAACAAAGTTTACACACACAAACAATACAAATACATTGACAGAATAGTTCTTTATACAAACAATGGAAAATGTTATAGAATAGCAGTCTTTGCTGAACCAAAATATTTTCATAAAGCAAAGAAAGTTGGTATAACCGAGATGGTGAAAGTTCTTGACGTTGACAAAAATATAACAACAAAACTTACAGATATTTCTAAAGGAAAGTTTATAATACAATTTTATGTCAAAACTGGCGTACTGTCAATATTTGACGGAGAGAAGTCAGTTCAAGAACAACTTACTGACCTGCTGCCAAAATCTGCTCGATGGAAGCTGTCGTTATGCCAATCTGAGGAGCCCCAGCAGGTTTCATCGAACGAATCTTCAAAAGAGCATCTTCCGTGAAAAGTGCTATTGGTTTTGTAAACTTCTTTGCTCTCAGTTCATATGGACCGTCTCTGTCACCAGTATATTGTATTTGAACTGTACCAACAGTTGAAATACCACCCATAAAGTCTTCTGAGTCAGCAAATGGAATGCCAAGCCAAAAGTTTGAACGGTCTCCATTTGTATATTGAGTGTTTTGAGCTCCTGTATGGGTCCATACTTTCACATATGGCATAATAGAACTTTGCATTTCAGGGTTAATGGTTGTTGTGAAGTTGTTGTTAAAGTTCATAGCATCTAATGTCAAGTTGTATGACCTCATATCCTCAACTGTAGAATATTCTTCTCTTGGATAGTATTTGCCATCTATGTTTATATGGTATTTAATACCGGGTTGTAGAAACAAGAATAGTCATTTATAGTTCGTCTGAACAGTACAAACATAGTATCTGCATGTTTCATTGCAGTTGTTAAAGCAATATCTGTTCTTGCACCTGGGTCAGCACTTTGGTTTCCAACTTCACCTGCAAAGTCTTTGACAGATATTTGGTGTATAGGGAACATAAGTGGAACTGCAATATATTTGGCAGCTAAAGCATTTGAAATATCTGGGTCCAACATATAGACTGCAAGTCTGCTTTCTATTCTCTTGCATTCAAATTTTTCGCATGTGAACTTAACTGGGTCCCAAGCATCTCCAGCAGCATTGAAATAATAGTTTACTTCATTGTTGAGGTTTGAGAAACCAAAGTCTAAGTCAACTTTGTTTTTTGCAAAAGTCGGCGAATGACATTTTATTTGTTCCCACTACTTCTGTAAGAGTGAATGGGTCTTGTGTTGGTGCAATGACTAAGTTATTTTTGCTTGGAGTAAGTTCGATAGAAATTTTTCCTGCCCAGTTTGGCAAGTATCTTAAAAACCTGAAGATGAGGAAAGATGACAAAGGAACTCTAAGTTTCAATTTTACTTTGGTTACTGCTGCTGCAGTTTGTCCAGAAAGGTTAACATAAACTCCTGGAACGTTAGGGTCAAGTCTTCTTATTTTCTCAATAGTTGCATACTGGTCTGTTTGTTCTCTAGCTTGTGGTTGTACTGAGTTTCTCAAAGCGAACCATTCATAGTTTGCCCATGTTACTGTTTGAACTAAGTCAGAGTTAGAATATATCTTATATCCCATGAAAACTTCTGGAGCATATTGGTATCCGACATAGAAAATTCCATTGCAACCTTTCTTGTCAGACAACTTGGCAGAAGGTTTTATTTCAATGTCTTGTTCCACGTATAAGAAAGAGTTGTCAATAGAAATTATATGAAACCTGTCGCAAGCAATATCTACTGTTGTTGAAGAACCTTCTCCAAACTCACCTACGTTTCCATAAGAAACAGCAGTTGTATATTCGTAAGTTCCAGGAACTATTTCTGACCTTCTAATGGCATTGTCGCATTCGTTATACCATTCGGAAACATTTCCATTCATAGCATCCAAAACTGTTGGCGTTATATTCTGAGCGGCGTACATTTCATATGAGTAAAAATATAGAATAGTTGGATTTATATGTCATAATAGAACCCACGTGGACCAAGCTTTACTTTCTTCCTGACTGAGTTTTTAACTCTTCTTTTTCCTTCATTGCCCTCTGCTTGAAGTTGTTGCATCTTTGCATTATGTTCATCTAGTATGTTGCAAATTTCCCATGTCCTTTTTGCCTTTTGGCTCTGGTCGCCCATCTCAGGTAACCTATATCCTAGAAAGAGTTTGTCATAGTCTGTATTTGAGTCTTCGCGTATTGTTTGCATGACTCTTTCCTGAGTTTCCGGTTCAAGCTCTTCAAACAGTGCCTGTCCATATGGAATATGCTCGTTTCCAAATATATGTTTTTGTAGCCATTCTGGTTTTCTTTCCATGTTACCAACTATATCTTTTGTGAATGGGAAAGTTCTACCAATCTTTCAGTCTTGCGTCGTTTATTTCTGTAGTTGGTTTTATTTTGTCAAGGAACATGTTTTCAATACTAACATTTCATTTGGTACTGTCCATTTGAGTTTTCTTAAATATTCATCCCTTCTCGGTTCATTGTCTGCAAAGTAATTTTATGACATTTTGCAAACTTTCGTTTGCAAGGTCATGTACAATAGGTTCTCTTCCTTCTATCTCCCTAACTTTCTTTCTAAACTCTTCACCAAATATACCATCTTTATGGTTCTGTGTAGTTCTTTGAGATAATGTTTCTAGAACGTCAGGTGTTATATTTCCATCAGCCATGTTCATTTCATACTGGTTCAAAATATCTGCATCTTTCATATCTTTCAATGGCATTAAAGCCGCGCTTAAAATACAGCTATATCTGGTTCATTGACTTCCATTGCGTCTACAACTTCTTGGAATTGAGTTGTAAGTTTATGAACCACCTATCCGGTTAGCTTTATGACCCCATCTCATTGTAGTTCCATCGTCTGCAGAAACAAAAGTAGGTTTGTTTCCATCTTGGTTAGGTTCTGAATGAACTTTAAACAATGTTTCATTTCTATATGTTTTCTTGAAATTTAACCTTTTATCTTCACCGAGTTCATCCGAAGATTGAACGTTAAATGCTCGTAAGTAAAAAGGTTTGTTGTATTTGTGTACATTTTTTTTCAGTTCTTCCATTCTATGCTGAATATTTTCATCTGGTGCTGGAGTCTTTTGTATGTCGGCAAAAATTTTTCGATATTCTTCTACTATGTCAGCCGAATTTTTTTTAGACTCTTGGAAATATTCCATATTCTCCGCATACTCTTGTTGAGGGTCAAGATTTTTCGGCTGTTCCAAATCTTCATCTAGTTCTGTGAAGTTAGTTTCCAAAGGAGTGACTTGTTCGTTTCCTTCAGGCTCTTCTAGCTGTTGTTGCTGAACTATTTCTTCCATGTCTGGTTGTATCTGAACTATTTCTTCCTGTGGAGTTTCTTGTACCTCATCTGCTGGCATTTCATATATTCCGAGACCGTTTTTAACAATTTCCCTATCTACGTCATCCGCATTCATAAGCTTTTGTTCTTTCGTTCCGTCTCTATTTTTTACGCGTTTCATGACGAAAGTTGAATTGTCATTTAGCTCTGACATCAATATCTCGGAGTAAATTCATCCATGTCATTTGATGATATGCTATTAAATCATATCCCTTAGCGAGCTTGTATTTTCCAGGTTTGAGATTATATCCGTTTTGGTGCTGAGCCATAAAGCTAAATAGGTTCGGGTCAGTATTTCCTTCCTTGAACTTCCAATAGCTTCTTTATATCTGTCACTAAAGTCAACAGTATCTGGGAAACCACACTCTTCTTTAAGCATTTTTAAGAATTCTTGGTTTCCTTGTTCTCTACTTCTTTTATGTCCTTGCTCTGTTTGTGTTGGTTGTTGTGCTGGTTGTGGAGGTGGTTGTTGTGCTGGTTGTTGTGTTGGTTGTTGTGTTGGTTGTTGTGCTGGTTGTTGTGCATGCCTGTGTCTGTGTCCATGTGACGATGTAAATGTTCTAGGTAGTCCTGGTGCAGGTGCTTCTCTTGGAGGGTTTGGTGGTATATAAGTTCCACCAGCTGGCACATATGTTCCATCTGCAGCGTAATGTCCTACCTGACTTTTCGTTTTTAAGAAAGCATTTACTAGGTCTGTTTTGGTCTGTTGTAACTCTTTTTCTTGACTTTTCACAACAGTTGCTCTAACGGCGTCATAGGCACTTTGAACTGCCTGTCTCGTTGCTGCATCTGTTATTTCGTCATATTTTGTGCTACTTTTTTAACTCGTTGTCGAAACCTTCAGACTTCAGTTTCTTTCCAGATGGAAGTCGTTCACTTGTTTCACCTTACTATGAAGAGCTTCGAAAGCGTTCTTAAGTCAGCATTTGTTAAAGCTTCATTTGAACTATCTTCATCCGCTTGTATTTTTGTCCTTATTGACCCTATAAGTTGGGCTGCTTTAGCGTTGGCTTGGGCATCTAACCAGTCATTGTTAGCTTTTATATATTCTGCGCTTTTCATTGCCTTTTGCATGGCTGCGTCGTTATTTTTACTTTCTTGTGCTAAGTTTTCATACTGTACGGTTTGGTTTTGCAACTGTAAAAGTTTTTCTGCCTTTACATTTGCTTCAACTTCTTTTTTATACTCATCGCTATCCATATATGTCTTCAGGGCTTTTTGTTTTATCTCTTCATCTTTCAGTATTTTATATTGAGTAGTATGGTTTTTCAAATTTATGACATCTTGTTCCATTTTTGCTACTTCTGTTGCTTTTTCTGACACTTTTTTTGCATATTCCTCTGTACTTAGTTCTTTCAGTTGTTCTTCTTTCTTCTTTTTTCTCTACGTTTAACTCATTGAGTTTCTTTGTGTGTCTGTCATATTCTAGTTTCTTTTCGTTTTCACTTATTTGCTTCTGTATGTCTATGTTTGACTTTTTGACATCTGTTATTTGATTTTTGAGTGAACTCAAATTCATTTGACTTTGAGGGTTATAGGCTGTTCCGTCTGCAGCTCCACCATAGCCTGCCATTTTCGCTAAAAGTGCCGCTCTTAAACCTCCACTCTGTGCACCAACAACTCGGTTTAAAAGCATAGGATTGCTTGACATTTGTTGCAACATAGTGGGGTCATTCAGCATTTGTTGTTGCAACTGTTGTTGTGGTGTCAGTTTTACTATTGGATGTTTCAATGCTCTCTTCCTCTTACGTATATTCTTACGTAGCTTACGTGGCATTTTAAGTGAAGTTAAAAAGCGGTTTTTGACAGATGTTTTATTGTGACTTCTTCGTAAAGACTTTGTTGAGATTTCTTCGTAAATGACCCAAAAATATATTTTAGGGTAGAAGGGTATATCTACCCCGTTTTCTACCCTCATTTCTACCCTCTTGAATTTTCATGAATTTCTTCGTAAAGACTTTGTCAAGACTTCTTCGTAAAGACTTTGTTGAGATTTCATCGTAAAGACTTTGTTAAGACTTCTTCGTAAAGACTTTGTTGAGATTTCATCGTAAAGACTTTGTTAAGATTTCTTCGTAAAGACTTTGTTGAGATTTCTTCGTAAATGACCCTAGTAGTATATTTTTGGTGTAAATTTCATGAAAATTCAAGAGGGTAGAAAAGAGGGTAGAAAACGGGGTAGATATACCCTTCTACCCTAAAATATATTTTTGGGTCATTTACACTCATGAACTTTCTTGTCTATGTTTTGTTAAGATTTCTTCGTAAAGACTTTGTTAAGACTTCTTCGTAAAGACTTTGTTGAGATTTCATCGTAAAGACTTTGTTAAGATTTCTTCGTAAAGACTTTGTTGAGATTTCTTCGTAAAGACTTTGTCAAGATTTCTTCGTAAATGTTTTGTCAAGACTTCTTCATAAAGACTTTGTCAAGATTTCTTCGTAAATGTTTTGTCAAGACTTCTTCATAAAGACTTTGTCAAGACTTCTTCGTAAAGACTTTGTCAAGACTTCTTCGTAAATGTTTTGTTAAGACTTCTTCGTAAAGACTTTGTCAAGACTTCATTTATACTCATTCATCCTCAGGGCTAGAAGGCACGAAGTGCCTGGAAGCCCCACTACCTTTTTTTTTTTTTTTTTTTTTTTTTTTTTTTTTTTTTTTTTTTTTTTTTTTTTTTTTTGTGTACGAAAAAAAAAGTCTGCTTTTCATATAGTTTCTTAACTATTGAAGTGATTTTGAAATTTTCAAAAAAAAAGTGCGTTTACTATCAATATGAGCAGCTTAGCTGTTCATTCTAGAAAATACCTAGCCATAATCATGCATATATTAATAAATATTGTTCTAAATTTGATTTTGGTAAATCATAAACAATATTCACATTACTAATTAGGACTGTAATCTTTAGGTAGTGTTAATATATGTCTGATTCAATATAGTATGATTGGATTCGAATTCAGTTAAATTTTATTCATATTTATGGGATCTTAGTCATTTTAAGGGTGCACACGAGAGGATCATGTAAACTTCAGAATTTAGAACCTTATTTTAGGCATTATCTTGGCTACCTATTTAGGCTCGAAAAGCAAAAAATATCAAAAAATACAACTTGAGTCCATTATGACCCTTTCATGGAGGTAGTTTTTATCCGCTAGTATTTTCCCTTTGAATCTCTTTACAATTCGAAATCAAATTCAAAACTCAGTAGAAGAAAGGAAGAATCGACTTACTACGGTTGTAATACGAATAAATACATATATTTAATTATTTTTATTTACATAATAATTGTTTGAAGCTCATATTCCAACAAATTTTTAAATAAAAACATTAAAATGTTGAAAATGTTCATATATTTTAATAGGGTTTTGGCACTTTATTGAGGAATTACTACATACATAGTCGAACTGAACTTGATATTTTGAAATTTAAATTATTTATCAAAATTAAAATTTAACTTGAAATTTATAATTATTTAGTCATATTTTGCATAATTCTAAGTAGATTTTGTAAAAAATCAAGAAAGAAAAATTTTAACGTGCTTTATTTTTTCTTTTTTATAATAATACATATTATTATATAATTAACATATTCATAATGTTTCACCCTTTCAAAAATATAATACTCCTCCTCTCAAATAAACGTACATACGGTGGCCTCTTTTTTCAAAAATTAAAATTTGAAATTTTGGGCTCAAATATTAGAGATTTTTTCAACCTTCAACGATATATGTTGTCTATATCAGACCTCCTTTCTTTTTGATACTTAACATTGTTCCTAAATCTTAGCCGTTAAGGCTGTTCTGAAAATATTTTTTTTCGAAAAAATTCGAAAAAAATTCTTAAAATTCAAAAATCCCTTAATTCCTGAGGATTTTGGAAAAAAGTTTTTACATGAACATGTGTATATTATATGAAGTATATTGATAAGGTAAAAATCAAATTTTATTGCATATTCATCGAGAAAATAAACTAACGAATCCCTCAAAATTGAGAGGGTAATCCTCCTCCTCTCAAATAAACGTACATACGGGTGCACCCTTAAGTCTTATAATTTTAATAACAAAACACATTCATGAAAATTATTTTAATTATAAAACAAAATCATTCCTATGCGCAGATTCAAAATTCGAAATTTGATTTTGTGGAAGCTATAATGCTTTTTTACACTTTTTGAATTGAATGACGACCTTTTATAAAGCAGCATGGAATAATAGTAAAGAAACAGCTGAAGTTCTTATTTCACATGGTGCAAATATGAATGAAAAAGATGAAGATGGAAATACACCTCTTCATGAAGCAGCAAAAAATAATTGCAAAGAAATAGTAGAACTTCTTATTTCACATGGTGCAAATATCAATAAAAAAGTGAGGATAATAAAGAAATAGTTGAACTTCTTATTTCACATGGTGCAATTATCAATGATTTTTGACTTTGTTCCTCGTTTGAGATACATGTTGAAATATTATACCCCAAATTAAGAATAAAGACTAAAATGAAATAATGAAAACAATTTTTTTTGATTAATTGGCTGATAATGAACATCTCATTGATATTTAGTACCTCTCCCCCAAATAACTTCAAAATGATTGAAGTTCGGATTATTCTAATATCATTTTATCATATATGATTTTCATTCTTTTTCATAGGCAAGACTGAAAATGGTAAATACTGATAAATAAATTATACATTACATCACCATTCTAAAACAATTTTTAAAATTTCAAAAATAATAACTTTCTCTATATTAAGTTTGAGCACAAGCTGAGTTCAATTTAGGAATATGACTGAAATTTAGGTGTATATTTTGCCAAGTTGAAGTTTACTGCATTTTAGATTTGGAGAGGATTTTTCTCCATAGGAGGTCCTTAAAATATAGAAATGAAATAGAAGGTATTTAATAATAAATACACGTTAAGGGTATAGTAAACTCAAAATTCTAGAGTTTTGAGAGTGCCAATAAACTCTATAGGCCTATATATATCTATATTTTAAAGGAGAGGTTACGCCATAATATTTGATATTATAAATTATTAATTCAAAATAAAAGTAGAAAATGAAACTAATTTTATTCTAACCTATATAAATATATCAATAATCTAAAATGATTATAGTCTGAACTATATTTTACCAGATTATCAAATATAAGAGAAATGAAATAAGGCATAAAAATATCATAGCATAATTATTGGATAAATGCATTAATAAATTATTTATATCATAATGAGAAAAAATCAAAATAAGAAAATGAGCATAATAATAATTTAATTAAAAACAAAAACAATAAATAAAATGTAATTTTCGTTAATCAAAGTCATCAATGTCTTCGTCTTCTGATTCCCATTCGGACTTGAAAACTTGATAATCTCCTCCTGGTACACTCTGAATGGATTTTTTGTATTTGTTCTGTTTTTTAGAACCTTTTGTAACAGTTTTTTGTTTCAATATCATTTTGGAGTAACAATTCTCTTCAAATGATTTGACACAATCTTCTGGAAGTGGGGGAAGATGTAATGCTTTTTGTATATCTCCGAGAAAATGCTCTGGATCATTCCATTCTAAGATTGCAACGTTAACTCTAATGTTAATGTTCTTCCAGGCTCTTGATTTGTCCAAATAGCATGCAATTTTGGAGTTAAACGCTTCATTCATGCAGGTAGATCCAATGGAAGAAACTTTGGAAACTATGGGTGTCCATTTGTGAACCCAGTCATAGAGCATGAATTGAAGTTGGATCGAATTGACACCTTTTTGCCATTCAAAGCATTTGTAATTGTGCGGTTCGCAAAAAGAATGATTGCCTACGTAATGGTAGACACAATTCTCCCACATTTTCGTACGTTTGTCAATATTTTCTTCAGCAAAACATGACCAAAGCCACATACTTAGGCTTGCATTCAGACCCCAGAAAGGTCTCTCTATTTTTTCAATCTTCTGAGTCTTGTCGTTGAAAACTTCAACTGTCTTATGAGAAGCTGAGAACTTTGTAAAATCTTTTGAGATATTTTTTGATACATGACCTGGATCGAATCTTTCAAGATGAGAGACGCCAAATTCTTTAAAGACAGAGACACTTTTGTTATCTCGGTCTTTAATAATCTCTTTAACATCTTTCAAGATATTGTATTTCTTTAATTGCTTCAAGATGATTCGAGTTCCAGCACTTTCCATATTGTTGGAAGCTCCGGAATACTGAGCATGCTGTCTGTTTCCACCAATATGGTTGATGTTCACGCATGCAAGAACTCTTTTTGTAACAGCATCGAGCGCAGTTACTGTACAACTTGGCGAGTTTCGCCTGTGCGTCCATCTTGCATCAATGGATAAGTAACCACTGAAGGACTTTCTCGACAGCATTAGGGAAATACTTTTAAGTCTTCTAATCTTATCGTATCTCATACCGAAATGGCTCACCAAAAAGGTGACATTTTTGGCGCCAATAATTTGATTTTTCTGATTCTTTCTATTTAGATATATTTATTTAATATTCATATTCCTTTATATTGCCTCATATTATTTCCCATTTTTAATCATATTATACAAATCTTTAATAATTTTTAATGTTTTGAGCTTCAAAATCTTGTTCTAACTATTTTCATTCATATATCCTAGAAAAAATTAAAAAGTTTTTTAGAAATAAAAATGTTTGTATGTAAAGTATTGAAAATATTCTAGATGAGAAGACATTCTCCAGAAGAGATTGATATTGATTGGCTTTGTGAAGCCATCACAAAATCAAATAATGGAGTTAAGTTAACTGATATTTGCGCGAAAGCTAAAATAAATCATGAAGGCAGAGTTATATATAATCATACTATCTTAAAGTATTCCTAGAAATTTCCAAAATTAACCGAAATATAACTGTACAGAATTACTATTTTCGAGATAAAATTCATATGGAAATACTAATTCATAACGCTTTATGTTATATAAAATTTAATTTATAAAAATTTCAAAATAAATCAAATTTAACACAATGAATATAACTGCAATCGAGGTTTTTGACGATTGATTCTTACGAGAAGTTTTCCAAACTTTGAGTTAATGTCAAGACATTAACTCAAAGTTTGGAAGTCTAATAAGGGGAATTGTAGGCTATGAGGTACTGATTATATATCAGTGCCTCATAGCCTGCAATTCCCATTAGAAATCGGAGAAACTTTGTCCGCATAACTTATGATGCGGACAAAGTTTCTCCCATTTCTACTTAGAATGAAAGGGCAAGAGGTATATAGGTACACTATATATCTCTTGCCCTTTCCTTCTTACCTAAAGACTTCCAATCTTATTTTTTTTTCAATTTTTCCCCTAAATTTAAATCTTATATAATATAAATAAAATGCATAATATCAATCACAAAAATTAATGTTTATTTTTTTAATTAAAATTGCCGCGCAATTTAAGGTTTTCTGTCACTTTTTTGTTAGCCATTTCGGTACGAAACAGTCTTCTAATCTTATCGTCACAAAATCTCTGTTGTCTCATGACACCACTCTTCACAGGGGGCTTAGTTCCACAAAGAGAAAGAAAGCGAGCACCTTTTGTATATGGCATTCCGGTCATTATGCAAGCACCAAGCATCTGTCGCGCTGAGAGTCGACGACGTTCGTGGAGTAAAATGTTATGCATTGCCTTTGTTTTCCGTTTTGGGTGAACAATATGGCCCATACAACAACAAAAAAATGAAATCCCGCCAAAAGTGAAAATTGAATAAAAAGTAATAATTAATAAATATATACTATATCATTAGATGAATATTTTGGAATAACATTTTAAAATCGAGGTTTTTCAATGGATAACGGTTCAATCAAAGATTTGACCTCATTTTAGAATCTACATTAAAAATGGAACATTTCTGTCGTTTCAAAATTCCAAAATAACGTTTCTATTCCTCTCAAAAGTAAAAACAAACTTTATTGGGGAAAAAATATTTTTATTTTCCAAAAAAAAATGAAAACCTTAAATGCAAATCTAATTTTGATGCTTTTGTTTGTGATTTTTTGGATTTCGAAAAAAATTTGAAAATTCAGACAAGTTACCATTAACACTAATACGTTTCAGCGAGTCGGTCCCATCAGAGAAATTTTCATAAATCGGCGATATAATTTATTATTTCAGCAAAATATTCTCAGATCCAACTAGAATAAGGTCAAATTATACAAATTTAGCAAAGGCTAGTTATCCTACCTATTCAATTAACTTTAATTTTAAATAATTCAAGACAATTCTCAAAATTACCTTAATAATCGCGTTCTCTTCGCAAAATGACGATTCCTCATTCACTACCAGCATAACTGAGGGCTTGTGCTCACAGAATAATACAGATAATTTACTTATTAATGCAAAATTTAGTACCAAAAGGTAATCATAGAAGATACAAAAAAAGTTTCTTTATTTTGATTGCTGATTTTATTTCTTCTAAAATTTACCAAATCTAAAAAATCCAAAATTGAATGCTATTGAATTTCATGTTTATGTAACATATACTATTTATTATATAAGGAATAAAAATTTTATAGTTTTAATCAAAAATAAAGGTGTACTAAATGCATACAAAACAAGGTATTTTTTACTCATCCAAAATATGTTAACAGTGCTATTTATATAATCAATATCCGAATTTCGAAATCATTTTGATGAAATCTTTATTTTAAAATTGAGTTGACTGTTAAAATCACCCGAGAAGAGGGATTATCTCAATGAAAAGTACATAAAATAGCAAACGCACAAGATGGCACTATGCAGCTTTATATTGTTATACAGGATGAACATATAAAATGTTTGGAAAACACTTACTTCGTTCTACAAATGTGTATCTCTTTATATCAAAGATTCTTCTCAAATTATTGAGAGACTTCTCTCAAAAAAAGGAAAATTTGATAACTAAAAAAAATTATGGCATAACCTCTCGTTTTGCATAGATATATATTTACATGGTCACAGAGCTTATTTTCATTGTCAAAACTTAAAAATTTTTAGTGGACTATACCCTTAATATCTGCGCGCCGATAGAAATGAATGGGAAAAAAATTGAAATAGAAAAATGCAAGAATCTCAGGCAGATGAAACATATTTAGAGCTAGCCAGTCAAAATAAAGAATACATTGCGACTTTTGATAATATATATCAGCTTAAATCTAACGAAATCGATGAAATAAACAAGATTTATCAAGATATCAAGTCAATTTTAATTGATAGATACCATTTTGACCCGGAAACAATTTTGAAACACATAGATAATGCATTTACATTTCATTTATTCAATTATAAGCCATACTGGGCACTAATCAAAAAAATAGATGATGAATACAAACCATTTACTGATAGATTATCACCATTTTGCCAATATTTATTTAATAAAGCTTATGGATTATTGATTTCAGACTATAATAAAAACAGAATTCGTGTTTTTGAAAAATTTTATGGAGATTTAGATTTCAGCAAATCGAATCCATTATTTCGAAGCATTTTGTATGATGACATTTCTGAATTCAGTAGATTGACAGAAATTCCTGGTTTTTATGCAAATGAAATGATTGAATGTCCATTTTTACATGAAGTTAATGGTAAAATAAGTTTAATTGAATTATGTTGCTATTTTGGATCTGTTAATTGCTTTAAAATATTAAGATCGAAATTCAATAGTTTTATTACACCGAATTGTTTGAATTATTCATTTCTAAATGCAAATCCAGATATAGTTAAAGAATGTTTAGCATTCCAAAAACCAAATGGAGATTCACTGAGTTTTTCAATCATTTCGCATAACATTGATATTTTTATTTATATATTAAATGAATGCAATTTCAAAATTCCATATCAAAAATGTGTTGAATATCAAAATCTTCAATCTTTTCTTATTGGAATAGATAGAGATAAATACAATAATAATGACTTTCTTTACTTTTCGTGTGGTTTTAATATACCTTCTCTTTGTAACTTTTTTATATCTCGTGGAAATGATGTCAACAAAAAAACATATAATGGAGAGAGTTCTATTTATTGTGCAGTTAAAAATAATAATTGCGATGTTGTTAAAACTCTTATTGATCATGATTCCAAAGTAAATGTAGATTCATTATTGGATAATTCACCACTTCATTATGCTGTTCAATTTAACAGTATCAAAATTGTTGAACTTTTACTTTCAAAAGGTGCAGATCCAAATGCAAAAAATCGATTTACTGAAACACCAATTTTCTGGTCAGCCAAAAGAAATGATATTGAATCTATTAAACTTCTTTTGAAATATGGTGCCGACATTAATTGGAGAGATGTATGTGGTAGTAATGTTCTTTTTCAAATGCAGTACTTAAACAAAGAAACATTAGAATTTCTTATTGATAACGGAGCTGATGTCAATTGCACAAAAATTGATAAAGGAACTCTTCTTCATGAAGCTGCTATGTTTAATTTAAGAGATATAGCCGAAACACTATGTTCACATGGTTTGAAAATTAATTCAAGAGATAAATATGGTGCTACTCCTCTTCATATTGCATCTATTAATAATTCACTCGAAACTGCTAAATTATTGCTTGAAAATGGAGCAGATATCAATGAAAAAACTAACAATTCAAACACAGCTTTAATTCTGGCTACAATCAATGATCATCCAGAAATTGCAGAACTATTACTTAATCATGGGGCAGATATAAATGACAAAGATGGTTATGGTTACAGTGTTGTTTCGATTTGTGTTAATCGAAAGAAATGTAAAATGCTAGAATTTCTTAAATCTCATGGTTTCATTTAACTTTAGTGCATTATGCAAGCATATAGTTTTGCCTGATTTTACTTTTTATTTATAATTTGAATATAAAATTGTTATTAATTAATACAGTATATTTATTTAATTGTGAGTCGAGCAATTTCAAATCTTCTCATCTTTGTTGCGAAAATAAATGATCATAAACTTTAGTAAATATAAGTAACTAAGTTCATCAAACAACTCGATGTAAGATATCAGAAATTAATATAGAATATAACACATCCCATCATAAACACAAAATTTGTTATATTAAAAATAGAAGTCTCAATGATATGGAAAGTGTTTTATGAAGATTTAGAAATGTTTACTAAAGTTTGTAAAAAAAGAGAAAGTTTTTTAACTTCAGAAATATTTTTATTGATAATTGTAAATTCTGCTTTGCAATTACCAGTTGAAAGATGAATCAATTTGTTAGTAAATAGTTCTCTTGGATTAGTAGGTTCTACATAAATAAGAAATGTTGACGAAATCGAATTGTCAATGTAACAACTATCAACTGTTGTTTCTTCATTTCGATCAGAATTATTGTTATATATCAAACATGAATATTTAGGAGCAGTGTTGTTAATAAAAGAACAACTTTTTACAGTAAGAGAATTTTTAGTATGGTGAATAATTCCTCTTTCTGATTGTGTCATGGTATTATTTATAATATTACATGAATCAATCAAAGCGTTATATCAAATATTTATCATTGTACTTTCTTTTGCAAAATTATTGACAACAGTTGTATGGTTAATTTTTGTTATATAATTGCGTGATTCACACCTATAATATCCAGCAGTTTGGAATTTTGCTTTACATGATGAGAAATTTGTTGATGAAACTACGATATTATCATTCATTGTGCAGCAAAGAGAATATCCTTCAACTTCATTCCCTGCATCAAAAATAGAACTCTCAATAATAAAATTTAAGTTATCAGGGCCAACATTTGTAAATGAAAATTGACCAGCACTTTTACCTTTGCACTTTGTGCAACAGAATTTTCGCTGAATAATTGAACTATTTCGGCCAATTTGGTAGTTAATGCAACTTCCAGCTTTTGTTGAAATGCAATCACTAAAAGAACAGCGATTATGTAGGAATAATGTGTTGTAAATTGGGTCAAAGTTGATAACTCGGTCATTATCATCAAAGAAGCTGCATTCGTCTAGGAAATATTGATTTTTCTCTGTTGTTAGATTACAATTTAGACAGCTTTTAGTTTCTTCACCTGTGAATTCAATCTTGAAGTAGCTATTCCAAACATTGTCATCCGCAGAGGATGACTTTCTTTGGAATTCATTCAGACTGTCAAATAACCGTAAATTTTAATAAAATTTCTAATATCAAAATATTTCTCTCGTTATCAATTTTATGACACTAAATAAAAATTCATTTCAATTCAATGAATTGAATCAGGTCTTTATATATATGATGTTTAATAATTATCTTTAATTTTTTAATAGAGAGCGGGACAAGATCGAAAATCTGACATTTGTAAAGTTACAAATCTGACGATGTAAACTGTTTACAAATGTCAGATCAAAAAAACTTTGCCCGCCAAAACGCAAAAGTGCCATAATCTCATGGTGGACCACAGCTGGTGTCGCCGCCGACTATTCACTTGCTGGGATGCTACGCAGCCTTTGATCTGGCCAATCTTAGTGCTGCTCCATCCACATCAGCAAGTGATTTCGGCTGGAGATCTCCAATGGGTCTTCCATGAGGTTTCTGTACGCCAGAAGCACAATATCTATGCAGCCTGGCTGCTAGGATAGCGTAGCTAGGCTGCGTAATTATTGTGCTTCTGGCGATATTAGTTATACGTTATTGCCCTCGTTGACTATAGTACTACTCCCTTAACCTCCGAGGGTTAGGGGAGTAAATTTGCTCGAAATGGGCAATGTTCATTACGAAATCTCTCATTCGATGAGAGACTTCGTAATGAGCATTGCCTTAAAGTACTCTTACTACTCTTTCCTAGTTCCCAAAAGGCCTAGGATTCTGTAATTAATCGAATAGGACAGAGTTTTTCCGAAGTCTCTCATTTGATGAGAGGCCTCGGAAGAATTCTGTCCTATTGTAATGTAGTTGTGGTACTTGGCCCACAAAGAGCGAGAGAACATGTCTGTAATTCGTTTATGCTGAAGTTATCTGGATGTCTCTCAAATGAGGAAGGAAATCCAGAAAACTTCAGCATAAGTTAATGCAGATGTGATTCTCTGGCTCTTTGTCGGCCAGAGAACGAATAAAAAGTTTATTGGATGAGTAGGCTCGATGGATGCCTACCCACTGCAAATATACGTTATTTTTTTATTTCCTATGAGAAAATAGTTTTCAATTTTTGTACTACTATATGTTTTACTACTTCATAAATCGTTTATTTTCTTATTAAAACTTAATTTTTTCCGTGTGATTCGGAATCTATGCATTCCAAAAATGCGTTTTCCGCTCTCAGAACGCGAAAATATGCACAATATGAGGAGATAAAGAAGATTCTTTCTCACCAAAATTCCAAAAAAAAATTGTTTTTCTTCTTTTCTCCACGAAAAATGTGCTTTTTGATTTCGAAATTTTCGAACCGTGATTTTTTTGGAGATTTTTCGAAAATTTTAATATGATAGATGTGAGTTATTTTATGTACTTTATTGGATTTTATGCTTATTTTTGAATTTTGATCAAGATTGAAAAAGTCGAAAAAATCGAAACATTATAAATCTATTTTTAAGAAGAAAAATAAACGATTTATGAAGTAGTAAAACATATAGTAGTACAAAAATTGAAAACTATTTTCTCATAGGAAATAAAAAAATAACGTATATTTGCAGTGGGTAGGCATCCATCGAGCCTACTCATCCAATAAACTTTTTATTCGTTCTCTGGCCGACAAAGAGCCAGAGAATCACATCTGCATTAACTTATGCTGAAGTTTTCTGGATTTCCTTCCTCATTTGAGAGACATCCAGATAACTTCAGCATAAACGAATTACAGACATGTTCTCTCGCTCTTTGTGGGCCAAGTACCACAACTACATTACAATAGGACAGAATTCTTCCGAGGCCTCTCATCAAATGAGAGACTTCGGAAAAACTCTGTCCTATTCGATTAATTACAGAATCCTAGGCCTTTTGGGAACTAGGAAAGAGTAGTAAGAGTACTTTAAGGCAATGCTCATTACGAAGTCTCTCATCGAATGAGAGATTTCGTAATGAACATTGCCCATTTCGAGCAAATTTACTCCCTAACCCTCGGAGGTTAAGGGAGTAGTACTATAGTCAACGAGGGCAATAACGTATAACTAATATCGCCAGAAGCACAATAATTACGCAGCCTAGCTACGCTATCCTAGCAGCCAGGCTGCATAGATATTGTGCTTCTGGCGTACAGAAACCTCATGGAAGACCCATTGGAGATCTCCAGCCGAAATCACTTGCTGATGTGGATGGAGCAGCACTAAGATTGGCCAGATCAAAGGCTGCGTAGCATCCCAGCAAGTGAATAGTCGGCGGCGACACCAGCTGTGGTCCACCATGAGATTATGGCACTTTTGCGTTTTGGCGGGCAAAGTTTTTTTTTGATCTGACATTTGTAAACAGTTTACATCGTCAGATTTGTAACTTTACAAATGTCAGATTTTCGATCTTGTCCCGCTCTCTTTTTTAATATTTTCGTACATTAAATGAATCCGCTCATAAACCCTCTCTTAAAATCAATAATTCTTCATCAATACAATGATAAATAAGTACACTCACAATATGAGTTCATAGTGATAAATATACTTTCATTTTAAATCTCATTCTATTTAAAAAATCATATATTTACATAAAAATAAAACTAAAAGAGAAAAATTGTTTATTTCTTTGAAGATTTTCCGAGTTGAAGTTTCTGAGAAGCTCTTCCTTCGATAACAATGTTTTGTGAATCTTTAATTTCAGGACGTTTTTGTTCAATTTCGTTGTCTTGTTCGCCATCTTCTTCTTGCAAATCTGTGTTGTATGAATTCTGGCTCCAGAAGTCTGGAGGAGTTTCGATGTTTTCTTTTCCTTCAACAACTTCTTCATCGGCGTCAAGAAGTCCTTCGTCTTCAAGCATGTCAAGGAGCATTGAGTTTGGAATGTCTTCGTAACCTGGTGGAATTTCGTAAATTGTTTTTCCGTCGCGAGCTCTGATGAACTTTCGATTTTGTTCGGGGAACTCAATTGCAACATCTCCATTTTCTTCTTGGATTAATTCGTTTGCTATACGTGGTAAGTCAAGTTGTTGGTCTTTCTGTGTTTTTATTTTTACTTTTCCAACAACAGCTTTCTTTTTGTTTTCTGAAAAATCTCGTGTTTCAACTGTTGGTTCGATGATGCTCTTCTTGAACTCTTCGCGCTTAGTCATTTGTGCTTCGTACTCACGGAACTGTCCTTCTGAAAGATCGGCAGATGATGTGTCGAACGACATCAGTGAAGTAATGTTTTTAGACTTCACTTTTGGTTCTTGTTTGATATCGTTCGACGGTAAACTAAAATTTATGTTTTGGTCCTCTTCTTCTTCGTTTGCAAACAATGCATCAATTTCGGCCATGTTCTCTTCTGGTAACATCTCTTCTTCATTTTCTTCTTCTGCATCTTCTTCTTCTAATTTCTTCTTTTGTTCTTCTAATTCTTTCTTCTTTTGTTCTTGTTCTTTCTTTGCTTTTTCTTCTTCTAATTTCTTCTTTTCTTCGAGTTCTTTCTTCTTCTTCAGTTCTTCTTTCTTTGCTTTTTCTTCTGCTTCTTTACGAAGACGTTCGTTTTCTTCTGCAATAAGTTTTTGTTTTTCTGCCATCAATGCTTGTTCTTTTCTTCTTCTTTCTGCTTCTGCTTTGATTTGCTTGAGTGCGTTTTCTTGTTCTTGTTTCTTTCTTAGTTCTTCTTCCTTTCTTGCTTTTTCTTCTGCTTCTTTCAGTTCTCTGAGACGTTTTCTTTCTGCGAATGCTCTTTCTCCTGCTTCTTGAGCAGCTTCTATCTCTTGTTTCTTTCTTGCTTCGTCTTCACGTGCTCTCATGTTTGCCTGGATAACTTTCTGTTGAGCTAATTCACGTTTGACAGCACCAGCATCTTTAGATCTTCCTCCTGTCATCATTTCTATCTTTTGACGTTCAAGTTCTGCTTCTTGTTTCTTTCTTTCTTCTTCTGCCTTTTGTTTAGCGATCTTCTTTTCCATTTCAAGTGTTGCGGCTTGTTCTTTCCTCTTTCTTTCTTCTTCCTCTTCTTTCTTCTTCTTTTCTAAGTATGCTTTCTGTTCTGCTTCTTGTTTCTTTCTTTCTTCTTCTTTCTTCTTCTCTTCTTCCATTTGTTTTCTCTTTGCAATCATTGCTGCTCTTCTTTCTCTTTCTTCTTGTTGTTTCTTGTTGAGATCGATTCTCTTGATTGGTTCTACTTTCTTTGCTGGTTGTTCCTTCTGTTGTTTCTCGTGTTGTTCCTCTTCTTCTTCATATTTCTCGCCTCTCTTCTTTGCAGCCAATTTCTTCTTGTGCTTCTCAATTCTCTTGTTCATGAATTCTGTGTATTCTTTCTTCTCTTCTTCTGTCATGCGTGCTTCCATTTGTTCTCTCTTTGTTGTGTGCTGCTGACGCTTAACACGAAGTTGTTCAAGGAATTCTAATCGCTTTCTTTCTTCTTCTTTCTTCGAATCCAATTCACTGAACCAAACTTCGCGGGAATGAGCAATATCTTTCTCGTATTTCTTGAACAATGATTTGATCTTGTTGTGTGTTTTCTCGTTAAGTTGTTTAACACTCTCTTCGTAGTTCATGTCAATGCCAATCTGGAAAATCTTTTCGTGATTGGAAATGTCACTTTTAGATTTGAATTCTTCAACAGCTTTTACGAACTGTTTGTCTTCTGGGAACTGGTTTGCGAATAATTCTGGGAAGTTCTCTTTGAGATCGAAGTAAACTTGGTTGTTTTCTGGCCATGTAGAATCCATTAAAATGTCGTTGAAATTGACGTAATAATCTGGTAATTTTGCTCTTTCCAAATCATCAATTTCCTTTGATTTCCTTTCGAGTTCTTTAGCTTCTTCTTCATCTAATATTGTGAAGTCTTCCTCTTCATCTTCTTCTTCTAAGTACCACTTCTTCTTTGGTTTATCTTGTTCCTTATTTGCTTCATCGTTGTTTTCTGCAGAAGGACCTTCTTCTTTCTCTTTCTCTGCGAATGATTGGATCTGTGCTTTGATTTCTTCGTCGAGAATCTCTTCCTCTTCTTGTTTCTGTGATTTTTCTTCTTCCTTTTGTTCTGTTATTGGTTTCAATGAGAAAGCGTTTTCTGGAATCTTTATACCTGTCATTCCAGGAATCTCTTTCATCTTTGGATGAGGAAGATTTCTCTTTGTGCAGTATTCATTCATTGCCTTGTTGTATTCACTTGCTGCTCTCTTTGTGTAGAACTCTGCAAGTCTTTGCGCTTGTTCTTCAATGAGTTTCTTCATTTCTGCATCAGCAAACAACATAAGTCTTCTGTCGATGAATTTGTCTTTTGTTATGAGTTTGAATGGCTTCGAAACAAGGATCTCTGCTTCATCAACAATTGGATCAGGAACTTCTGGTTTTGATGGTGCCAAAGGATAAGGAATTCTGTCTTTCATCTTCTCTTCTCTGAGTCTTTGTTGTTCAAGGAGATAAGCAATCTTTGGAGGAATTGCGTCTTCTCCTCTTTTGTCATCTTCTTCTTGTTGTTGCTCTTGTTGTTTTTTCTTTTCTTCTTCTTGTTTCGGTTTGTTCTTTGGTTTGTCACCATTTAATATTGCATCTAAATCATCAATTGTTGCTGGTTTAGTTTCTTGTTTCTTCTCAACTTTTTCTGGTTTAGATTCAACTTGTTTTGGTTCTTCTTCTTGTTTCTTTGCAGGTGTTTCATCCATAAGAGCTCCGAAATCATCCATTGCTTGTTGTCTTTCTTTTTCTTCAACAGATTTATGTTTCTTCTCTTTGATTTCTTCCTCTTCCTCTTCTTCAACAACTTGTTTAGTTTCTTCTTGTTTCTTAATTGGTGTTTCATCCATTAGAGCACCGAAATCATCCATTGCTTGTTGTTGTTCTCTTTCTTGGATTGATTGTTTCTTTTGTTTCTTTTCTTCTTTAATTTCTTCCTCTTCTTCATCTTCTTCTTCGACTTTGACTTGTTTTTGTTTCTTTGATTTCTTTTCTTGTTTCTTAGACTCCTTTTCTTCTTTCTTTGGTTTAGAGTCTTGTTTCTTTGCAGGTGTTTCATCCATAAGAGCACCGAAATCATCCATTGCTTGTTGTCTTTCTTTTTCTTCAACAGATTTATGTTTCTTTTCTTTGATTTCTTCTTCTTCGACTTGTTTCTTTTCTTCTTCCTCTTCTTCTTCAATTTGTTCTTCCTTTGGAGGAGCAGCAGCATTCATCAATCTATCGATATCATCTAATGTTTGAGGAGCATCTTCTTGTTCTTTTTCTTCTTCCTCCTCCTCTTGTTTTGTTTCTTCTTCTTTGATTTGTTGTTGATACTTTTCTTGTAATTCTTTCTGTAACTGTTGTTGTTTCTGTTGTTTCATCTGTTTCCTTGAGAGTTTCTTTGCTGGTTCTTGTTGTTTCTGTTCTTTGTCAACTCTTACTCTCTTTCTAACTGTTTGTATTGTTAAAACAGGTGGAGCATCCCATGTTTCTCCTGGCTCCATGACTTCTTCTTCCTCGTATTGGTACTCGTACTCGTATTCACCATCTCCTTCGATGTGGTGATTTACTCTCTTGATGACTGTTGGCATCTGTTCGTTGTTTTCATCTTCTTCGTCTTCTTCGTTTAGTTCTGCTGTTGCTGCATTGACCAACATTGATTTCATCTTTTCTTCTGCTTGTCTTCTTGCTTTTTCTTCTGCTTTGAGACGCTTCTGTTCAGCCAACCATTCTGCGGAAACAACTGGCTGTTGTTTCTTTCTCATGTTTGCTATCTTCCTCTTCTTCTTTGATTTGCTCTGTTTGCTGTCTTTGTCTTGTTTGAGCTGTTTCCTGAGTTTGTTGAACTTGGAAAGATCCTTTTCGTAGTTCTTTTCGAGAGTAATGAGATCTTTCTCTGTGATTGAATTCCTTCTTTCTTTCTTCTTGACAATAGGAATTCCTGATTTGTCAACTTCGCCAGGAGTAAACATTGGTTTTGGTTCATCGAAATTACTGTTATCAACAATGAATCCTTGCTTTCCTTTGTATTCTTCTGTGATGTTTGGTGTTGGAACTTCGTTTGCAAGTTTAGTCCAATCTGAATCAGGAAGAGGTTGTCTTGGAAGAACAAATAGTTTCTCATCGAAATCTGTTGATACCAAAAGTGCTTTAGGAATTGGTTCATCTTTAACTCCTTTGAGAGTTGCAAATTGTATTGGAACGAATAATGCTGGTTTGTTATCTGTCTTTGCTTTCTTTGATGGTTTCTTCTTTCCATCTGCTTTCTTTCCTTTCTTTTCTTCTGTCTTTGGTTTCTCTTCTTCAGCTTTAGCAACTTCTTCTTGTTTCTTCTCTTCAACCTTTGGTTTTTCTTCAACTTTCTTCTTTTCTTCGGATTTCGGTTTTTCTTCTGGTTTCTTTTCTTCTGTCTTTGGTTTTTCTTCGGACTTCTTCTTCTCATCTGATTTAGGTTTCTTTTCTTCAACTTTCTTCTTTTCTTCTGGTTTCTTCTCTTCAACTTTCTTTTCTTCTGTCTTTGGCTTTTCTTCTTGTTTCTTCTTTTCTTCTGGTTTTGATTCATCGTGTTTTGAATCTTCGTGGTCGTGTCTTAATGAGCGTTTCTTTCTTGTGCTTGCGAGAGGTTTTGGAAGAGGTTCGTTTGGATCGAAATCCTGGAGTTGTGCAGGAGCCATGAGAGCGTCGATGTCGTCTAATGTCATTGCGCTTTCTTCCTTCTTTTCAACTTTCTTGTTGAGAACAATGACTTCTTTGTCTGGAGCGACTTCGATCTTTCTGACTTGTTGTGCCAAGATGTTTTGTGGTGGAATGAACTCATCTTCCTTCTTCTCTTCTTGTTTCTTCTTCTTCTTCTTTGGTTTCTCTTCAACAGGCTGTGGCTGTTCTTCCTTCTTTTCTTCAGCTGGTTTCTGTTCCTCTTTCTTCTCTTCTGGAACTGGCTGCTGAGGCTGTTCTTCAGCTGGCTTTTGCTGTGTTTGCTCTGGAACTGGTGCTGAAGGAGGTTGTTGAGTGGAATCTGCTGGTTGTGCTGGAGCATCGGCTGGTTTCTGTTCTTTTGATGCTTCTCCGGCTGCTGCAGCTCCTTTCTTCGATTTCCTCTTCTTCTTTATCGTTCTCTTGACAACTCTGATTTCGTATTCTTCCTCGCCTTGGCCTGCACCTTCGCCTGGAGGCATCTGACACTCTGGGTATTGTCCGTTCGGTGGGTATTGGCCGTCTGCAGGAGGAGGATACTGACCATCTGGAGGATACTGGCCGTCCGGTGGATATTGGCCTCCATCGTAATACTGGCCATCCTGTGGAGGATACTGACCATCTTCAGGTGGGTATTGGCCGTCTGGAGGATACTGGCCATCAGGTGGATATTGGCCGTTGTCGTAGAATTGGCCGTCTTGGCCACCATCGTAATATTGGCCGTCTTGGCCACCGTCGTAGTACTGTCCTTCTGGTGGAGGATTCTGGCCATCGTCATAATACTGGCCGTTATCATAGAATTGGCCATCTTGTGGTTGCTGGCCATCATCGTAATAATTCTGGTTATCGCCACCATCATAGTATTGGTTGTTCTCTTGGCCTTCGTCATAATAATTCTGATTCTGGCCGTCATCGTAATAATTCTGGTTGAATTGTTCTTCTTCGCCATAAACTTGGTTGTTGGCATTCTGTTGGTCGTTTGGCTGGTTGTTAATTTCACCTTGTGGTGGAATTTGTTGTTTTCTTGGTGGTCTTTGAGGAGGAACGCCTCTGTTTGGTCCTTGATCGACATAATTGTCTTGTGGAGGACCTTGTGGCCTTCTCGTTGGCTTCTGAGCGACAATTCTCTGATCTTGGTCGCGATTTCTCCTGGAAGACCTTCTTTCGTTATCTCTTGATGATGTGGAGTCAAGATCTGAGTATTTCTCATCTTTCCTATGAGAAGATCTCCTGTGATGTTGAGATGATCTGTAATTCTTCTCAAATTCTGTATCTTCGTCAGAATATCTATCATCACGGTGATGAAAACGATGAGAATGTCTGTGAGATGATCGTCTGCGTGGATAATCGTCGTAATCGTAGTCATCTCTCATTCTCCTTGAAGAAGATCTGTGATAGGAGTGCCTGTGTGATGATGATCCGTGTCTGTGAGATGAAGAATGCCTCTTTGAGGATGATGCAGTTGAATCTTTTGCATATGTTCTTCGATCTCTGACTTTCGGCTCGTAATCATCACTGGCGGAATCAATAAGCTCTTCTTGTGGTCCAAAGAACTTGTTTCCGACTTTTACAACGAGTGGTTTCGTGTTTTTATCATCAATGACTAATTTGGAACGTTGTGGTCCCTCGTAGTAGTTGGCGAGGTCATCTGATGATTCTTGGAAGTTCGGGAATGGATGGTTCTTTGTAAATGCAACAGAAAGAGGTTTCGGATTATTAAATTCGATATTTTGAGGTTCTGGATCAGGAGGAAGTGGGATTGAGTTGTTGTATATATGCTGCTTGACTTGTTGGATGAAACTGTGAGAAATCGGGGTCATTTTTTCATCAAGGTTTATATCAACGACAGCATCGATCAAACTGCGTGGAATTTCATCCAGAATATCGTAAATATAATCGTAGTTAACGAGTTGTGGGAAATGTCTCACGAATGCATCAGGAAACGCGTATGCGTAATCGTAAAGCAAAATTTCGACTGGATTGACTTCGCTCTTCTTTCTTCGTGATGACGATTGTGTTGTCGATGATTTGTGGCGACCATAAAACATCCTTTGGTTGAGATATTCAGCAGTACTCGAATGATTTACTTGTGGATTGGAAGATCCAGGTGGAACAATGTTGATTCCGTAATCAGCAATGTTTTTACGAGGCTGAATGAAAGAATAGTTGAAGTTTTGAGGAGGAAATTGATTCGAAATCGGCTGTTCGTAAGCTTGCTGAGGATATTCAAAATCGTATTGGTCATCATTATCGTAATCGTTGTTGTTTTGAGGAAATAGAATTTCATCAGGACGGAGAACAGAAATTCCGGAAACTTTCTTTAACTGAGTGCGCTGATAAGGCTGCTGTGAATACTGCTGGAACTGCTTGCTAAGAGGAATATTTCCCACTTGTAAGTTTGTCCTTGGCTTTGGAATTTCAGCAACAAAACCGTAATTTTGAGCAATCGCGGATTGATGATTGATAGTCATGTCGTAAGACTGCTGAGGCTGCATCATTTGAGGTTGCCTGTAATTCAATGGTTGCTGCGATGGTAAATTGAAAGAACGGTTTTGATTTGGAAATTCTGCACGAAATCCGAATGCTGATGCTGCCTTAATTGAATTATCGACATTCATCGCTGATGGAGCTTGCATATTCTGACCTCTTGTTGGAAATTGAGCGGTCAAACCATAATTTGCAGCAACGCGGACAGCGTTTGAATTGTCAGGTGTGGATCCTGGTATTTCTGCGATAAATCCATATTGTCTTGCTTTTTGAGCGGTTAAATTCTTATTTATCATTTGTTGCGGGTACATTTGGCGAGATTTACCTGGCATATCTATCTTCATGCCATAGTTCATTGCTGTCGATTCTCCTGTTGTCATCTGTTGTTGAAATTGATCAGGAATATTGTTCATTCCTTGAGAAATCGGCGGCTGAGTATAAGGATTTGCGTAAGAATTGAATCCTTGCGTTCTAGTCGGCATGGCAACGTTGAAGCCATACGCTGCGGCTGCTTTCTGGCCAGAATTCATTGCTGACGCTTCCCTAAAATTCATTGAAATTCAATTGATTTCTGAAGGATTTCTCCGAAACTAAACAATATTTGCGAACTTTGAAAATTTAAATTCTGTATATGATATATTCCTTATTGGTTTTCTCAATTTCAGCCAAGACCCTTAAAACAGTTTATCAAATTTTAGGTATTTGGTTTTATCATATAATTACTCTGTATTTAAAATATACAAAGTTAGTATTATCAAAATATTGATTCGATTTGAACTTAAAGACCATTCATTTTTGATTCAATAAAAATGCAACTAAATCATTATATCATTATAAAACAAGATCTTTGAAAGCAGTTTATATAATCATTCTTGTCCATTCCCATAAAAAATCATATTGTGTTAATGATATCTTATCAAGTTTACAGCCATACTTATTTAAATGGAAAATACGTATATACAATCATGGATTTAACTACTACCCCAGCCAAATTGAGAGAAATTACGGAAGAAGAAGCTCAGCAATTAGATCAAAATCCGCTAATAGAATACTGGAAAGAGAATATATATATACAAAAGCTAAAGTAGCAGATGTCAATATACGTAAACTCAATTTTGTCTCTGATATTCTCAAATTGAAAAATGAAAATACTAAAGAAATTCCAGAAATTCAAAAATCACTCCAGAGCCTAATTGATCTTCCAGTTCAAAGTCCAGGATCCTCATTAAATACTAAGTCAAAAGCAAATACATCTATTGAATCCTCTATATTATTGAACAGATCAGAAAATGATAAAGTGCAAAGCGATAATGCATCATCTAGGACTAATCCAAAGGTAATAAAGCATACTAAACAAAATTCAACCCCCTCAAAAAATAATTCTAAAAATATCACGAATGATGAGCACAATTCTAATATAATTAAAGATAATCCTAAATCTGAAACAAAAAATGAACAAGTTGATATGTCTACCACTAAATCTCAACCTATTTCTTCCAATGTAAATCAAAATTCGATTGAAAAGAAAAATTCAATAAACTCAATAGCAGATTTAGTGATTGCTGATATCAATCAAGAGAAAACGCCTACAAAAACAGGAACACTAACTCAAGCTGCTGTTAAAATATATCAAACTCATGAATCTCAAAAAAACGAAAAGTCTGTGCCTTGGACAATACAAGGACTAATTAAACTCAATAAATTTCATGCTATAGATTCGTATGAAAATGAAAATTTCTTTTCGGAATTAAAATCAAAACTTCAAAATTCCAGTCCAGAGCAGCTGAAAATCATAAAGCCTATTAGAAATGGGGATGAAAGTATAGAATTGCTTCAAATTGATTTGGAAAGCAAAAATGAGAACCAAGCCGAAAGTCCAGCATTTTTCATCAGTACTGATATTGCTAAGAGCTTAAACATTGTTCCTGTAAAATGATTAAGTATGTATGTTTGTATATAAAACTGTTTGTTATTAATTTTTGCATTTTTCTTTGAGATTCAGTCTTTTTACTACATGCATAAATCAGATTATGTCAATCTGATATTCTAGTTTTATGAAGATCCTTACTATTTGTTCATTATAAGTGAGATTTTTGATAAAGTTAAAAATCTGGCTCAGATTTTTGATTGAAATTTTTGATAAATGTAGAGTTGTCAAAAATAATTAAGGTTCTTTTGTAATGTTTTTAGCTTCTTTAGTTGCTATACGTTTTGCTAATCACTATATAGGAAGCTTTATAGACATGGATTAAAATGAAACTCGTTTTGAAGCTGTTTTCACAGATAATGGCCGCAAATCTATCGGAACAATTCAATCGAAATATTATTCTAACTATCTTCCAAAGAAAGTGATGCTCGAGAAAGTCTCTGATTTTGACGACTATGATCTTTCATTTGAAATTGACGGAATTTATAAAAAAATCGCAAAATTAGAATTCAACTTAACAGGCAAAGATGAATACATATGCTCATCATTAACAGATGATATGAGTCATGATGTAAATGGATTAATTTCACCAAAATCTATGGAATTTTTAGTTTTACGCCATGATGACCAGCTTTGGTTCAAATATAACTTGCGCCAAAAACCATCAACATTTTCAAATCCAATAGTTAAGGTTGTCATTGGAGTAATCATTTACATGATAATTGGAATTGCTTCAGACAATCTGGTTCTATGGCTCTGGCTATGGTGGCAACGCTCTCCTCGGCAAGAAGTGCTTCGCCCTCCGTATCGGCTCCAACCTCGCCCGCAAGGAAGGCTGGCTCGCTGAGCACATGCTTATTCTTGGCGTCAAGAACCCAGAAGGCAAGAAGACATTCGTCACAGCTGCCTTCCCATCAGCTTGTGGCAAGACAAACTTCGCCATGTTGATCCCACCAGAGGAACTCCGCAAGAAGGGCTGGGAAGTCACAACAGTCGGTGATGATATCGCATGGATCAAGCCAAACAAGGATGGTGAACTCCGCGCTATCAACCCAGAAAACGGTTTCTTCGGTGTTGCCCCAGGCACAGCCATGAGCACAAATCCAAACGCTCTTCTCTCCTGCGCTCGTAACACAATCTTCACAAACGTCGCTCTTACAGACGATGGCGACATCTGGTGGGAGGGCATGACAGAGGAGAAGCCTGCTCACCTTATCGACTGGCAGAACAAGGACTGGACACCAGACTGCGGCCGTGTCTCATCACATCCAAACTCCCGCTTCGCTGCTCCAGCTGCTAACTGCCCATGCATTGACCCAGAATGGGAGAACCCAGCCGGTGTTCCAGTCTCCATCTTCGTCTATGGTGGCCGCCGCATGAACGATATCCCACTCGTCTTCCAGGCCACATCATGGGCTCACGGTGTTTACCTTGGTGCTACAGTCGGCTCTGAACAGACAGCCGCTGCTGAAGGCCAGGTTGGCGCCCTCCGCCGCGATCCATTCGCTATGCTCCCATTCTGCGGCTACCACATGGGTGACTACTTCAAGCACTACCTCGAGATGGCCAAGCTCGCCAAGACACCACTTGTCTTCCACGTCAACTGGTTCCGCAAGTCCCCAGCTGGCAAGTTCCTTTGGCCAGGCTTCGGCCAGAACGCTCGTGTCTTTGGCTGGATGGTCAACAGACCCTACGGCAAGGCCCCAGAGCACATCTCTCCACTCGGCTACGTTCCAGAGTACGAGGATATCGATTGGGAAGGCCTCAACTTCACAAAGGAACAGTTCGAGGAAGTTATGCACCAGGATAAGGAGAAGATCAAGGCCCAGGTTGCTGCTAACGATGACTACCTCATCAACAAGATCGGCCACGTTTCCCAGGAACTCCTCGAGGTTTCCAAGGAAATCCTTAAGCGCTGCGAGTAAATCTTTCTAGCTTCTTTTTATGATTATTCTTAAATTCACATTCTTTTTTTTCAAAACATTGAAAAAATATTTGTCAAATTATTTTTATGAATCCTTTGTTACTTGAAAAGTTTAAAGATGAAATTCGACCAAATATTAAAAGCTCAACTAAGCAGCCACCGTGGATGGATTCGTTCTTTTACTCAACAAGCGATCCTTATACGTTTTTAGATCTTGAGTTGATCGATTTCGCGAAATGGATTCAACCAACATTGGAAGAAAAGTATGTCAGGCTGAGAATATACAAAAACATACAAGAATGCATTACTAAAATCTATCCTTTGGCAAAAGTTATTTTATTCGGATCAAATTCAACAGATTCAAATCTTCCTTTCAGTGATATAGATCTTTCTGTCGTGATAAAAAACTTAATTATCGATGATACTCTAGAAGAACTTTATTTTATTGGAAGATATTTGAAACTTTCAGGAGTAATTTCCCAATTTCAAGTAATAAATGCAAAAGTTCCAATAGTTAAAGCTACTGATTCAGGATTTCGTCTTCCAATTGATATCGGAATTGTTACTCAATTATCTGACGAAGATAATGACCTTAACTACCTTGCTTACATGGAAAGAAATAGAAACGCACTCAGTAGATATCCGTCAATGTATCCTGTTTTAATGTACTTAAAAATGCTTTTATGTCAGGAAAAATTAGAAGTTAACTACGAAGGAGGTATCAGTTCGACATTATTATTTAATATGCTACTCTCTGTTTGCCAAATTAATGAAAGTACAACAAAATTCTCTCCATCAAAATTATTATTGAATTTCTTATGGTACTATGGCGATATTTTTAATCCAATGCAATGTACAATTGGTGTTGCTAACGGAGGATATTTAATAAAAAACGACAACTCCGATATAGATAATACTCCCAAATTTAGCTTTATTGACCCAGTTACTGGAAATGCCAGCCATTTCCGTGGTACAGAGCATTTCAAATTTATCAAAAAATGCAGAGCATGGAATGAAAAACTTAGAATTGAGTTGCAATATCCTTGCAGATCAAAATTAGATAAGTTACTTGACATGAATTACATATTTAGTTTGAATACAGAAAGGATTGTTCTTAAAAAGCTTTTCCAAACTGATCAAGAACAACAGAATAAAAATTCTGAAAATCAAAGATGGAATGTCGTCGCAAACTTCATTATGGCACAAACAAATGCTATCGTTGCTAAAAGAAACATGCAAAAATCGAATCTTCCTACACCTGGAAAATACAAGGAAACTCTTAAGGTTAAGTTGACAAAATTGGACAAGTACAATCAGAATTCAAAACCCAAAGAGGTTTACTAATGTTTTCATTTATATTTGCAAAATATTATTTTTTATTTCTAGCCTTATTATTTTTATTTGTGATTTAAATGTTTTTATCTTATCACTTTTTCTCCAATGATATCCAAGAACTTTTTTCTCAAACCAAATTCAATTTTTTTAAGGGGGTATGTTTGAATAGTTGTAAATTTTTTAATAAAATCACTTTTTCTCCATATCACGGCAATATTTTTGGACAATCATAAGTGTTACGAGCACAGTCATAGTCAGAGTAGGTACTGACAAAGTTTCGACGATCACACTATTCTACGTATGTTTGTCAGTTACTAACAAAAAAATTACTTAAAATTGAATCAAGTCATTAAATACAAAACTAGGGTTTGCGAAAACGATATAAACTAACATTACAACTATTTCTTCATAAAAATAGGAGAACAGAATTTTAATACACAGCTTTTAGGGTGCACCCGTATGTACGTTTATTTGAGAGGAGGAGGATTACCCTCTCAATTTTGAGGGATTCGTTAGTTTATTTTCTCGATGAATATGCAATAAAATTTGATTTTTACCTTATCAATATACTTCATATAATATACACATGTTCATGTAAAAACTTTTTTCCAAAATCCTCAGGAATTAAGGGTGCACCCGTATGTACGTTTATTTGAGAGGAGGAGGATTACCCTCTCAATTTTGAGGGATTCGTTAGTTTATTTTCTCGATGAATATGCAATAAAATTTGATTTTTACCTTATCAATATACTTCATATAATATACACATGTTCATGTAAAAACTTTTTTCCAAAATCCTCAGGAATTAAGGGTGCACCCGTATGTACGTTTATTTGAGAGGAGGAGGATTACCCTCTCAATTTTGAGGGATTCGTTAGTTTATTTTCTCGATGAATATGCAATAAAATTTGATTTTTACCTTATCAATATACTTCATATAATATACACATGTTCATGTAAAAACTTTTTTCCAAAATCCTCAGGAATTAAGGGATTTTTGAATTTTAAGAATTTTTTCGAATTTTTTCGAAAAAAAAATATTTTCAGAACAGCCTTAACGGCTAAGATTTAGGAACAATGTTAAGTATCAAAAAGAAAGGAGGTCTGATATAGACAACATATATCGTTGAAGGTTGAAAAAATCTCTAATATTTGAGCCCAAAATTTCAAATTTTGATTTTTTGAAAAAAGAGGCCACCCGTATGTACGTTTATTTGAGAGGAGGAGTATTATATTTTTGAAAGGGTGAAACATTATGAATATGTTAATTATATAATAATATGTATTATTATAAAAAAGAAAAAATAAAGCACGTTAAAATTTTTCTTTCTTGATTTTTTACAAAATCTACTTAGAATTATGCAAAATATGACTAAATAATTATAAATTTCAAGTTAAATTTTAATTTTGATAAATAATTTAAATTTCAAAATATCAAGTTCAGTTCGACTATGTATGTAGTAATTCCTCAATAAAGTGCCAAAACCCTATTAAAATATATGAACATTTTCAACATTTTAATGTTTTTATTTAAAAATTTGTTGGAATATGAGCTTCAAACAATTATTATGTAAATAAAAATAATTAAATATATGTATTTATTCGTATTACAACCGTAGTAAGTCGATTCTTCCTTTCTTCTACTGAGATTTGAATTTGATTTCGAATTGTAAAGAAATTCAAAGGGAAAATACTAGCGGATAAAAACTACCTCCATGAAAGGGTCATAATGGAGTCAAGTTGTATTTTTTGATATTTTTTGCTTTTCGAGCCTAAATAGGTAGCCAAGATAATGCCTAAAATAAGGTTCTAAATTCTGAAGTTTACATGATCCTCTCGTGTGCACCCTTAAATTGAATGCATCATTAGAAGTTAGAATTGGTATTAACACAAGCGGTCCTCTTCTCGCTGGTGTTCTTGGTACTGATAAGCCTGTCTTCGATATTATTGGTGACCCAATTAACATCGCTGCTCGTCTTCAGAGTACTGATATCGCTGGACGTATCCAGATTTCTAAGGCTACAAAAGAATACATCGAAAATGGTAACTTTAACATCGAAGAAAGAGGTGAAGTCTTCCTTAAGGGTAAGGGTAAGCAGATGACTTACTTAGTTACACCACTCTCTGGAATGATGCATATCACTTCTTCACTCTCACAATCTAAGCTTGGACAGTAAAAATTCATTATAATTTTTTTATTATTTTAAATTTGATTCTTTTTTTAAGGGTGCACTTACCACTTTCTGACATTCTCTCAATTTTTTTGACACCAGAGCTTTATTCTCCAATTTGCTATGATAGAAAGCTAATATTTTCTCTATGGAAAAAGTTATTATAAATCACTACATAGTACTTCATATGACTTTTATATAAAAAGATATGTTATGATGAATGCATGTCAGAAAGTAGTAAGTGCACCCTTAAAATATAAATATCCTATATGAATAAACTAAAGAACAGACATTCTTTATGTTATTAAAACAAAATGAGAATAATTCAAGTATTGTGTTAGGGAATGAGTAATAAGATTGCATAGATGTAGTTATTTTTCTACAAGACAGATATTTAATACGAAAAAATATGGAACATTACACATTTTTGAAAAATAAGGAAATAATTTCATAAGTGGATCAATTGTATAGATTCTCTCAAGATACACGAAGCTTCAACAAGTTAATTAGCTATCGGAATGAGTACCGATCTTTGATTTTTTTCAAATTTGAAAAATCCCCTTTTATCCAAATTTCAAAAAAAATCTAATTTTGTTAATGCCGACGTATATGTTTTAAAAATGATATGAGAGAACAATCCGAATTTTTCGCACTCTCAATTATTTTTTTTTATAAAAATGAGATTGATTGTTTTCCTTTTCCTGCTTTCACTAATAGTCTTATGCATAGCAATACCACTCAAAATGACTATTGTAAGGCGTATACAAGTATTTCTTCGGCGCCTATTTAATAAAACGCTTTACTACGAGAAAGGAAAAACATTAATCTCTTTTGTCAACTTGCTTGGTGAAGGCAGTCGATTCAAAGCAAGAAGCTCATTGATCGAAGTATCACTGAACTTCTTTTCGATACTAAAAACTCACTCTTTTCGCCATGTTGAAGTCAAAATCGAAGATCTTGACTTAGAAATTCTAGAACACGAAAATTCTAGCCAAGATTCAGGGAAAACCACAATTGAACAATGGATAATTCAAAAAATTCTTTCTTACATTTTAATATTAATTACAAAATCAGCGAAAATCAACTTACACAACATATCAGTTACTGTTAAAGGTGTGAAATTCCGTTTTCAATCCATGACTGTCGAATTTGTTCGCGCTCAATCGAATTTTTCTTTGGATTTTTCAGTGACCGAGATTTCACTTGCAGAGGAGGACCCATTCGCGCATATACCGTCATTGAACATCTCATTTAAAGGCTCGATGTCATCCCTTAAGCAGTTTATGACGAACTTCTACAGAAATTTTGGCATAAAAATACCTTTACTTACGATTTTATACAACGAGGGCCGCATATCTACAGACACATGCCAACTCCACATCACATGTCCTGACGACGAAGATGTTGATGCGCAGTTACTTATTGATAAAATCGAATTAAACTTACCTGTCCTTGATTTACACACGAAAACGCTCAAGGTCATCATTACAGAGCTCAACATCCTTGATGACGTTTTCGAAGCTAGCAGATTCCTTGCAACTCGTGGAGAATTACCACTTGCGGATATTCCTTCGATAAAAATCGACAAAAGCTCATGGACGTTCTCAAATGTTGATCTATACCTATCAACGACATTTTTAATTGACATTGGCCTGCTAAATCGCTACTTTAACGGAGTATCAAATCCATTAGAGAAGAAACAAGAGAAAGTCAAACCGAAATTCCAGTACTTCATGAAATCTCCATTCGTGAATGTTACATTCGCTCTTTCCGATAATCATATTCTCAAAATTCCGCTGAAAAAAGTTGTTTTTCAAAAAAGGGAAATTTCAGCGAAAACAGCGATGATAGACGTCGTATTTCCACAGAAGACATACAATTTCCTTACCGCGAGATGGGCAGAACTAAATCTTGCAAAGCCATTTTTCGGATTAAGGGCAAGAGAGGCCGATTTCACTTTGCACGCGGATTTTGCCGAGAAATCATACATCAACGAAGTGTTCTCCCTCATTTCCTTCGTCTCTAAACAGATAAAAGGCGATGTTTCGGCATTTAGAGACAAATTACCTCCGACATCTCGAAGATTTTCAATGGTTTTCGAGACAGGAAGCGTAAAATATGCTACTACACCACTTACTGATACAATTACACTCTCAAATGTAGCAAAACTCGAAGCAGTCCAACAATTGCGAATTCGCCAAGAAAAAGCAATACAAATCATGAAAGCCAGAGGTACAAAGACATTCAACAGTGAAGAATTCGAACAGGAATCCAAGAATCAGCTCTTCAAACTCTACAGAGAAGCGTTTTCGAAATTACCCGAACCAGAAGAGGTCCTTTACTCAGTTTTATTCAAAGATCTCGAGTGGGTATGGGATGGACCTGCAATTTCCAACAGAGAAAACGCTCTGGAGAAGCTCTGCGTCATTGATAAGAATTTGGAAAAATCAAATATCGGCAGAATCGTTGGTGGCGCATTGACTCTTAACGTTAAACACACCGCCTTGAATTCTAGACACTCAGGAACCCTTCTTACCATGGAAAATATCGAAACTTCAGGTTGGTATTTGAATGCAAAGAAAAAAGGTGTCAGTCGTAAAGATTTCTTCCACTACAAAATACACTGCGATAACAGGCTAACAGAATTCAACGTTCCCGGCATCGCTTGTCGTACAGTTCACTTTTTCGATTTTAATATGAAGACATCGAAGATTGTAATGAAGTCAATACCCGACGCATCGGAGATTAAACAAGATTGGAAGCTCGGATCCACATTATGGAGGCAAGAAAAGTACAAATACAAAAGAATTTACATGTTTGACAAGTACAGGATCAGATATCGGTGGTTATTCAAAGTCTCCGCGAAGGATTTCATCGTACAGCATCACGATATCGATAATATGTACTCTCAAACGGCTCAAATGAACTTTATCATGCCAGACTTCACTTTTTCATTCGATAGAAGGCAATTTACCATTGTTGCTTCGCAGTTCATAGTCAGAGCGAACACCGAAAATGGCATGAGATCCATGTTCATCTTCCCAGCTCCGAATATGACCGCAAGAATCGTATCCCATAATCCTCTTAACGCCGACTCGCGCAGGCCAACGTTCGTGCCAATAGATTCCTACAGAATCACGGACACAGAGTACGAGCCATACGCAAAATATTGTTCTCATACTTGGTCACTTCACTCGACCATTGATTTTGGTGACGGATATCTCCAAATCAACGGGGATTTACTCAAATCGTTTATTCACAAAATTATCCACAAAGGTTCATCTATCAACAGATATCTTAAACCACAGAATTTCATCAGAAGAACATCGACATATCCGAAATTTTCTTTCTTCGATGTTTCCGTGATGATTCCGAAACTGTTGATGACAATGAATAACGACAAACTAAGAGTAAAGCTCACAGGCGACCCATTGATCCTTAAGATGTCAACAGACAATGGTTTCAAAGTCACTTGCAATGGAAACAAATCCGAAATTTTAGGAACTTTTTTAGAAAGAAAAATTTTCTCAGTAACCGTTTCACATTTGGATGTTTCCACTAAAGAAACCATTTTCATTAAGATCAGGTCAATCATAGGCGAAATGACAACAGACATCATGAACCAGATCAATGAATTCGGCATCGAAATGCCTCCTCCGAAGAAGAAAAATCCTCTTCCAATGATGACGACAGAACCAGAACTTTTAAAGCATTTCAACACGACAAAATTCATTTTGGAGATTGTCGAGTCTAAGTTGACATTAATGCTCACAGACACAGAGTCATCATGCTCCCTTTCCGCAAACAATTTCACTTTCGAAAAACGTAAAAATGATACTCAAACATCATTGAATATCATAAAAAGTAACATCATTGATTTACACACACATGGTTTGCGTCCATTATTCCATCTTGACAAAGTCCAGTTCCTTCACGCGAGTGGCTTAAGTTCTGCCATGAAACTAGTCACATTGCAATCATTGAGTGTCAATTTCAGACCTGATGATTTCGATGTTTTCATTCCAGCATTTCACGCTTTCTCTTTGAAGATAAATCTCGATGACAACAAAGCGAATAAGATTGCAGGAAGGGACTCATTGATATCAGGATCAATAGGGAATGTCTATGTCAAGTTCTTCCATCCAGATGGAACAGCAATGTGCGACATCGAATTGCAACAACCGAACTTGTATTATTTGGCAAATCTCGATGATTCCGCCGTCATCAACTTCTCATTGAATAACTTGAGCGCAAAGGATGAGACACAGCAAGACGCGTTCAAAGACATATTCTCATGCACAAGCGAACAGATCTTCGTTGACTTACGAATGAAGCGCGCAAAAAGGATCATGAAAAGAGCAGTTTTCGAGAGGATTAAATGTAAAATTGCTCCATTTTCTGCATCACTTTCCATGCCGTTTATCAAGAACTTGATTGCGATATTCCCTAGTGCTGATGACTTGAGGGCGTTGGATATCGATCAGGATGATATCGAAGAATCTCCAAACGAAGCAAACCAAATAAGTGAAGGCGGAATTCCTTCTCCTGCAATTGATGACTCAGTAACTGAAGGCGCTTTCTTCTGTCGGGAATTCATTTTGCATCCTATTTCTGCGAATTTGAACTTCAGACGTAAAGAAACAGGTTCATTCAAGGAGTTCTTGGACAGGTCATTCACTTACCAAGGATTACACATGTATGACATTTTCGGAACAAAGAGACAATTAACAGGATACATAAAGAAGAACTTGAAGTGGACATTGATTAAGGCACTTCCAGGATTCATCCTTTCGAAGGGAAAGAAAGCACAACAACAAAATCAAACACAACTTCCTAAGCCAAAGGATATGGAAAATTAATTAATTCTTTTTTTTCTTTGTATTGTTATTTAATTTTTATTTTTTTCTTTTATAAAAAAAACTTTATAATTTTTGACAATTTTTATTTATTAACTACTGGTCAAACCAGTAATTTAAGCATTAATTAGATTGCTCTATAAGCTGATTCGAGCTCTAACTACCAAGGAAGAAACAATTCAAAAATCGTAACATTTTTTGAACTACGAATCATTACCTGTAAATAAAGTTAAATTTGACAAATTCGCATTTTTCAAAACTTCAGAAGTAGTGCAAATATGTCTTAAATATTTCATAAAATATGTGCACTTCTAGTGACCTCTTGGTTACAGATTTTCGAGCAAATAAATTTTAGAAATTTCAACTTAAATTAATATAAGTATATTTTAATTTAACATATACATTTTCCTAAATTGCTTAGCGTATGTGATCATGTAGAATCATACTATTAATGATAACCACTTATTGGTGGATATTTTATTAATAAAAATATTTTTAAGGGTGCACCCGCATGTACGTTTATTTGAGAGTAGGAGGATTACCCTCTCAATTTTGAACGCTTCGTTAGCGCAATATCTCGATGAATATTGTATTAAAATTGAATTTGCCCATACCAATAGATCTGATACAATATCCTTAAGTTTTACTAAAAAGAATTTTTTAAAATCCCTGCAGATTCGGGGATTTTTAAATTTTTTGATTTTTTTCGCAAATTTTTCGAAAAAAAAACATTTTCAGAAGAGCCTTAACGGCTAAGTTTTATGTTTAATGTTGAATATCAAAAAGAATGGGCGTCTGATATAGCCATCATATATCCCAGAAGCAAATAAAAATTCTGACTTTTTAAGCATAAAAAAATGAAATTTTATTTTTTGCAAAAAACAGGGAGGATGTTTTATTGTCGTCTGGAAAAAGTGACAAAATTATTATTTTGAGAGGGGGAGGATTAAATTTTTGAAAGCAGTAAAATTTGTAAATATTCTAGTTACATAATAATATGTATTATTTTAAAAAATAAAAAATTAAAGCACGTTAAAATTTTTTTGATGAATTTTTACAAAAGCTACTTAGGATTATGCAAAATATAGTAATTAAACATAAATTTCAAATCAGATTTTACTTATGATAAATATTTTAAATTTCCGAAAATTAAGTTCAGATCGACTCGATACGTTGTAATTACTAAATAAGGTGCCAAAAACCTATTAAACAGTATCAAAACTATCAAGATTGTAATGTTTTTGAAGAAAAATTTATAGAATTATGAACTTCAAACAGATATTATGTAAATAAAAATAATATAATGGATTTGTTTATTCGTATAATAGCAGCAATAAGTCGATTATTCACTTCTACTTCTGAGATTTGAATTTAATTTCGACAGAAAAAGAGATTCAAGAGGAAAATACTAGGGAATACAAACTGCCACCATGACAGGATTATTATGGAGCCAAGTTGTACTTTTTGATATTTTTAGAGTTTTACTACCTATTTAGGGACCAAGTAATTGCTTAAAAATTAAGGTTCTAAATTCTGAAGTTTACATGATCCTCCCGGGCGCACCCTTAAATTATCCAGCAATTTTTATTTTATATCTTATTTGATTAAATGGTATTGTTTCAACTAAATAATCAAATACTTCAGAGGATTAATGATTGCAAAACGCGCGAAAAGGTTACACTAACAATCAATAACGTCGAATTCATCATTAACAAATACTTCGCAGTTGCATTTTCAAAATTATTTTATGAAAACTATCTTTTAGACAATAATAATGTCAAGATTGATATCAATACAAAAATACAAACACAAGAAACATACAATATCTTGAAAGAAATCCTTCAATATCGGAAAACAGACGTTGAATGCAACGAAAGTGTTTGTAAAGATCTCTTTCATATTGGAGTGAAACTTTATATTAATGACCTAATTGAATTTTATAAAAATCATTTCATCGATAATACAACGATCGACTTAAATAATTGTTTTGATTTACTTGAATTCTATTTCGACATATCATCAGAAGAAAAAACATTTGAATGTGCAGATTTCATATCTTCACATTTCTTCGAAATCGATGAGAATAAACTCAAAACAATATCGAACAAAGTTGGGTTTGATATTTTACAAAGAATTATCAATAGTGATAAACTGAAAATCAAAGATGAAGATTCATTAGCGAAATTCGTCATTTCTCTTACGAGAGAAAGTGAAACATTTTATCAACTGATTGAACATATCCGATTAGAGTTTTGCAGCAAACAAATAATTGATGAAATTCAAAACTTGAGTAACGAAAACAACTTCAATATCATCATCAACTCATTTCATGATTCATTATTGCGATCAAGACCACCAAAACATAATTATGTTCGTTACAATATTCAAAACGAAATCTTACAAAATATTTCTGAACTGAAGAAATCAAATGATTTCTCAAATATATATAAATTCTTAGATGAAATATCAGAAAAAGATATTCGAATTTTGATGTCAATTGCATTCAATGAACTTGCAAAAACCAAAGATTCAGAAGGAGATTACATTATTCATAAAGCTTCTCAAGATGGAAATCTCAGACTTGTTCAATGTCTTGTTGAACATAATTTTGATATCGAAATCAAGAATAATGATGGAGATACTCCACTCATTTGGGCATCATATTTTGGTAAACTTGAAATTGTTCAATATCTTATCTCTAATGGAGCTGATAAAGAAGCAAAGAATAATAATGGATCTACTCCACTCATTTGGGCATCAAGAAAAGGTCATCTTGAGGTTGTTCAATATCTTATCTCTGTTGGAGCTAATAAAGAAACAAAGGATAATATTAGATCTACTCCACTCATTAATGCATCAAGTGAAGGTCGTCTTGAAGTTGTTAAATATCTTATCTCTATTGGAGCTGATAAAGAAGCAAAGAATCATATTGGATCTACTCCACTCATTTGTGCATCATATTTTGGTAAACTTGAGGTTGTTCAATATCTTATCTCTAATGGAGCTGATAAAGAAGCAAAGGATGATAATGGATATACTCCACTCATTAATGCATCAAGAAAAGGTCATCTTGAAGTTGTTAAATATCTTATCTCTAATGGAGCTGATAAAGAAGCAAAGGATAATGAAGGAAAAACATGTTTCGATCATGGAAACAGTGATATAAAAAATTATCTATCTTCAATATGATTAATTAATTCAATTAATTATAATTTTTCGTTTGAATTTATTGAGACGAGTAAAATGTATTTTTAATTCATTAGCTCATAATAGAGAGATTTGTGTTTTGTAATAAAAGCACAATATATATATATATAAATTGTTAGACAGCGTGATATTATCATGCTAAATAGTGAATTCCAGCGGTGATGTCTGGAGTGGACTCTCTTTTAAATGTTCTATAGGGTGTCCAAAGGTGTGTTTAGCACAAACCTGAATACTGCGAATAGAAATAAACAAGTTACATATATATAAAGTTTATTTAAATATAATCACCATTGGATTCAATCACGCGTTCGCAGCGATCGATCCAGGCTTGAAAGACACGCTTTAAATCATCATGAGAAAATTGCTCAAATTGCTCTCTTACAAAATTTTCAAGATCATCTGGACTCGCGAATTCGCGTCCTTCAGCTCTCTTTTTTAGCGTGCCGAATAAATAAAAGTCAGAGGGTGCAATATCAGGTGAATAAATTGGGTTTGGAACAACTTTGACATTGTTTTCCACCAAGTAATTCATTACCTTATGACTTTTGTGAACTCTTGAATTATCAAAATGAATTGCAAACTTTTGTTTTTGTTGTTTGGATTTCTCAAACTCATCAGAATTGATAATTTGAGTAAGAACATTGTCAATTAGATACTGAGCATTCATCGTATTAGGTTTTTGAAGAATATCAATTGCGATGATGCCATTCACGCCCCAAAAAACCGACAACATCATCATTGGTGTGTCAATTTTTTTCTTCGGGAATGTTTGCGGATTTTCATCCTTCGGGATCCACATGATTTTGGCTTCTGTTGCATATTGAAACCAAGACTCGTCCCCTGTTACTAAAAAGCGAAACTTCTTGGATTGATACGCACCCAATATAGAGAGGAGCTCTTTCGAAGATTGGACTCTAGATTTTTTTTGAACTGAATTAAGGTTGTGCGGAACCCAACGTGTATACGCTAGTTTGTAGTTCAAATAATTGTGCAGATAATAACTGACTGTTGTATGTGGTATCTTTGTCATCTCCTCTATCCTTCTGAGTGATGCTCTTGGGTCTTCATCTAGCGCTTGAAGAATTGCTTTGATTTTTCTTTGATCCGGCGATTTTTTGTCAATTTTTATGATGGGCGCCTTTTTGTTCATGAAGTGATACATCCTAACATGATACGTTACAGTGGAATAGCTAGGAGCATCCATACCGAAGCATTTTACCAATGTCTCGTAGATTTTTTTACAGTCTTTGCATTTTTTTGCAAGAGCGAGGATGTTTTCTTTATGATTCATTAAAAAAATGAAAAAAATCCCGCCAAAATTTCCCGCGAAACCGCCTCTTGTCTCAAAATTCATTTTATATCCCAGCATGGCGCCAAAATACAACATACTCATCATATACATATATTCATATTTTTTATTATATATTTATAATCAGCATATATCTCCTTTAATAGTCTCATATAGAGCGCTGTGCTAAACGCACCTTTGGACACCCTATATAATGGGTAATATAATTACTTAAAAAAAAGTGAATTTACGATAATAAAATTTTTACATTTTCTTCTTTTTAGCAGCAATTTCAGCAGCTTTTTGCTGGGCAATTCTTTGCGCCATTGCCTTTGTTGCATTTCTATCCATAACTCGGCTAACAAACTCACCTTTGTCTCCCTTTTGTCTCTGTTGTTTGAGAACTTCGCCGAGTTTATTAGGTTTAGTTATTCTCTTAGATGACTCGGTTTCTCTGATGTCGAAGTTGTTTTCAGCAGCAATCTTAGAAGCAACAACCTGAGCATTGCAAATCTGCATGAAATCATAGTCTTCATCTTCAAGTTTTGGTTTGATTGTTGTAATCATTTCCTTGATCCAATCTAAGACTTCTGTTGGTGAATTTGCGTTGAGAGGCTCTTTCTGAACAAGCTGCATCTCATCTGCAAGATGGTAGATGCCGGAAACAACTGATTCTTTGAAAGCAATGCTTGCGAGTTTCTCTTTCTCTGCTTCTTGAAGTTTCTCATTTTCTGACAAAAGAATCTTTTTGGCTTCTTGGAGAAGTCTGTTTCCACCAACACCTTTATGAGATGTGTACTCTGCTTCATCAATAGCAGAACGCTTTTGAGCGACTTCTTTGGACAATTGGTCATTCACGGCTTTGAGATCTTCGATTTGCTTTGTTAATGTTGCAGATGTGTTACGACGATCCTCAAAGAACTTGACAATTGCATCTGGATCACCTGTTCCGAAGTATTCAACGATTTCTTCGTATTTAGAAGAAACCGTTCTGAACTTTTCGTCTTTCTTATCTTTTTGGGCTCTGTTGTTACGATTCCTTACAACAGATGCCTGAGAATTAAGGGATTGCTGTGGCTTCGCTTGTCTTGCATCATTCGAATCTTCCATAATCAGTTGATGCAAATTTGCTTGGTATTGAGCAGTTTTGGCTTTGAGTTGTTGCTCACGCTTTTCACGTGCGGCTGCTGTCTTTGCCTGTAAGTTGTTGTACTCAAGTTTGGCGGCATTCATTGAATGAACGGAATCTCTTGCAATAAGCTCGAGATCAGCAAGATCGCGCTTCTTCTGCTCAATTTCCTTCTTTTGAGCTTCAATAAGTCTGTTCCATTGCATCTTTTGACGCTGGAATTGATAAATAATTGCGTTATATATTTTAAGAAGATGCTTGGTTTCATTGTTCTTAATTTCAGCATTATCCAATCGATTCTTCAGAGTTTGAATTCGCTCAGTTGTTGTGTCTGTTGATTGGGAACCGCCTTCAAGATTTTGAAGCTGGATTTGTAATTCTGTTTGGCGTTTAACTGCTTCTTGTTTCTTATGTCTGTAATTATCTATTTGCTTCTTTAATAGGTTAACTTGGTGTGTTGAATGTTTAATATCTGCATGAAGGTCAATGCTGCCTGTTCGTTTCTGCTTCTCTTTTGTAAGTACTGCAAGAGAGCTTCTTAATTGTGTATGCTCTTTTCGAAGATCTGATAAAACCTGTTCGTTATTTTCTAATCTCTGTACAATTGAGTTATAAAAATCGCGATCAGTACCTTTCAAATCTCTGCCCTTTTCCTTAATAGATGCAAGATCTGATTCAAAAGTTTCTGCAATATTTGGCTTCTCTTCCTCCTGTTTTTTCATAATTTTTGTCTGTTAGTATGGAATTTCATAATTTGAATTGAATACCATCAAAAACAAAAAGAATACTACCATTTAATAGTACTTCACATTTGAAGCATATTGTTCGTATCTTTTAAGGCTTTATTTGCTCAAATTGCAATATTGTCAGTTATCTGATATTGTTATTCATATTTGACTACTTCCAACTCATACAAAAAAGCATCTCTAAGTTGTTTGGATACGGACATTTTAATTATTCCATAATAATATCATTTAAAACATGATTGAGGCACATTATTACTGAATAATGAATCAAGAAAAGTAGGGTTGGTGCACAATACATCTGGTAAATTCATGGATCTAATATATTAAATCATTCTTTCAATATTCAAATTTATGAATCTAAATTAATAGATTTCCAGATGATCCGAGCTGAGCATAAATCATATGCCAGATAGAAGTTTATTTGATCAAGTGACTGAAGCCTAATTTTGAGTTTTTATGCATTATCATGAAATCGGACACAAATTATCAAAATCAGCTAATTTATTGATTTTTATGGAATGTAATTCTAATCACGTATAAATCATTAATAAAATTAAAAATAAAATCTTTCATGAAAGATTTTGGTCAAAATTTTTTTTTCAGAAGATGACTGATTTCTTCGATACAGAGACACCTCTTCCGAACGATGTCGAGTCATTTGAAGAGTTAGGCCTTTCCCATTCTATTATTCGTGCTCTACATAAAATGAATTTCGAAATTCCAACACCAGTTCAAAATAAGACGATTCCAATCGCTCTTCAAGGCCGTGATGTCTGCGCTTCCGCTGTTACTGGCTCAGGAAAGACAGCTGCTTTCCTTATTCCAACAGTTGAACGTCTTCTCCGTTCAAAATCTACAGAAGCACAAACAAGAGCAGTCATTTTATCACCAACACGCGAACTTGCAGCACAAACATACTCAGTTTTATCTCAAATCATCCAATTTACACCACTTACAGCACTTTTACTTACAGGTGGTTCATCCAATGTCAAAGAAGAGGAAGAACGTCTTTTGGAGTACCCAGACTTCTTGGTTTGCACACCAGGAAGAATTATTGATCATATTAAGAACTGTGAAGGCTTTACTCTTGAGAATGTCCTTGTATTAGTTCTTGATGAATCAGATCGTCTTCTTCAAGAAGGATTTTACTCACAAATCGAAGAAGTCCACAAATCACTTCCAGAAACCACTCAATCTATCCTTGTTACAGCTACAATGAACTCATCCGTTTCAAGATTAGCGGAAATGTCTCTTAAAAAGCCAGTTCGTATTGATCTTGATGATGTTTTCAAAGTTGCCAAAGGTCTTACCCAAGAATTCATCCGATGTACGAAAGAAACAAGAGATGCCACTTTAGTTGCATGTTGCTCTCGTCTTTGCACCAAAAAGACACTTATTTTCGGCAACACGAAGAAGATTGTCCACAACCTCTACCTCCTTTTCAAAGCTCTCGGCATGCCAGTTGCTGAATTACAAGGAGACATGACACAGCTCAAGAGATACGAAGCACATTCATTATTTGCAGGTGGACAAGCCGAATTCCTCATTGCAACTGATGTCGCTGCACGTGGTTTGGATATAAAAGGCATAGAAAACGTTATTAACTATAACATGCCAAGATCATTGACATTTTATGTCCACAGAGTTGGAAGAACAGCAAGGATTAACACTGAAGGACGTACTATTGCTCTTATCACAGAAGATGACCGCGAAATGATGAAATCTATTATTGAAAAGTCAGCTGAAAGTAATCCTGTTTCAAAGAGAACAATTCCTGATAATGTAATCGAAGCAACACAAAAGAAGATCGATGAAGTTCAAGAGAAAGTCGCAGAAATGCGCGAAGAAGAGAAAGAAGAAAAAGTTCTCGAGAAGTCTCTGAAAGATATAGAAAGAGCAAGAGATATCGCTTCTAATCCAATGTCTGCTGTCACAGATAAAAAGAGAACATTCGTTTCTAAAAACAAACGCGATCCAAAGGATGCTGCTGTTGTTGCAGCAAAGCTTAAATCAAAGAAGGATCGCAGAAAGAAACGTAATGACGATGATGATAAGCCAAGAAAGAATGATAACAAGAATTTCGAAAAGAATGATAAGAAGAAAAGTGGTAAGTTTGATAAGAATGGTGGAAAACCAAACAAAAAGCGTAATTAGAGAAAATAAAGTATTTATTATTTATAGAATTTCAAATAACAATCATAGTCTTTTTATTATTACTTAAATTTATTAATATACTTACGCCCATATGACGATGCCACCATTTATGCTGTTTAAAATGAGTTATCAATGATATTTCATCCTTGCTGTCAGAAATTTGAATTAATTAAAGTTCGATGACGTTTCTATTTCTGCATGATTGTATATGTTTATAATGTGGATGAGGACAAATTGAACATTTTTAATTTATAAACCTGTATATTGCCAGAGGAAAGATACGATATTTACGTGTTTTTGTCTAGATAACGCTTTTTTTCTTCTGATAGTTATGAATTCAAAGTGCCGGAAGCTATAGAAAAATTGAAGACTCTCGTTAAATTCTTTATAATTAGAATTCATCATTTGAAAGATTTAATAAGAAATTGCTTATATGATGATATATCTATATACCCTTATGCATATAAGAAACATGTTTTTCTGGGGTAAAGGAAAATGTTCTCTATGAAATATCCAAAAATATATAAGTACACATTAATAGGGAACTTTGGAGATTTGTATCTTGTTATGTGAAGCATCATATAAGGAATTACTTATTGTAATATTTACATGAATTGACTATTATATATAATCAACGCAATAACCGTGATTTAAATCAGATTTATATATTCTTGACAATATGGATATAAATAAGAAAACTGAAGTTATTGTATTAACAATAACGAGGTATCAAATGTACTTGATTTATTTTCAAATTTAAAAAAAGTAAATAAAAATTTATGATTTTATAATTCATATGAAACAAAAATAGATAACGTATTAATTAATATTTGTTATCTGTATTTGATTTTACCTTCCAAAACTAATGAATAGTAGGGTTTTCTGATTGGATCTGCAATAATTAGTTCTTGGCACAATTTTTGTATTTTTTCGGTATCATTTGCACCTGAAGCTACATACAATAAAATTTGTAAAGCTCGAGGATTCTTTGGATTCTTTTGATAAAGTTTTTCGCCGAGTGCTTGTAATTTTGGTTCTAAAGATTTGTCTTTCTCAACAATTGCAAAAGCGTAATTCATCGATGCTTCGTTCTTAGTAATTTTAAGAAGACTTTGTTCTGCAGCCTCGAATTCAGCTTTTGGATCTAAATTCATGAAGTCAACCATGGCTTTTCTTGTATTCCATGCACTGTTATTTCTCATATCGATTTCGATTTGGTAGTTTGCAAGATCATAAATTTCTTTGTATAGTTTGAAATGATCTGCAAACCATATTGCGTAACTCCATGCATGGAAGTTCTTCGCATCAATTAAAAACACTTCTTTAAGGAAACTAACTTCATCAACTTTTTCATTTGTTCTTTCAAGCAACCATTGGCGGTAATGCCAGGCTTGATATGACTTTGGAGCATCTTTGATAATTTTCTCGAGATTTTGTAGTTCTGTTTTGAAATCGTAGCCAATTTTTTCTAAAATGTAATATTTATACCACCATGCTGTATAGTGGCTATGAAATCTTTGAATAACTTTGTTTGTGATTTCCAATGCGCGTTGAGAAACTTCTTTTTTATGAAGAACAGCCAAAAAATATCCCATCAAATCAACATAATCTTCAGTATATTCGACTTGAAATGGATCTCCTGGCTGTTGTGGAAGTGGGAGAGGTTCAATATCTTTCCAATCCTCACGATCTTTATACAATGTATTTTCAGTCATTTCAACAATATGAAAAAATAAGAAGAATCATTAACTAAATGATTTTCAGACATACATGAATGGATAAAGTATGCTTGTGTCACATTTAGTTCGTAGATTTTAAAATATTATTTTTTCTGATCTTGTTCTAAGGAATGATGGTATTTAGAAACAGATTTTTAGTTGATTGTTAATAGATATAGATAAGAACCTAAAATTTTGAAGAATTATCAATTTGAATGATATGCAGTAGCTGAATTTAACTGATATGTTTCTTTATTTTAGGAACTAGAGAAATTATAGTTTTACAATTTGATCTTTAAAATCAATGATCAATTTCAATTTTAGATTCTTTGAGCTGTTGTAGTCAGGTAATAACACTCTAAGCTATTCACAATAATAAGATATCTTAAAATTACAGAAAACTAATTGAGATAAAAATAATTTTTTTTGGAATCTTGGAAAATATTGAATTTTGTAGGAAATGTATTAAATTTTCAAGAAATTGAGTTAAAAATAGTAAAGATTATTTATAATTTCATTCTCTAATAAAAAATATTTAGCTCTATCTTTATATAATCTTAGAAATGAAGTCCTGGATATCAGCAGTCCATCCAGAGATACCTCCCTGGCTTGCAAGAAGTCTTGGCTTTGAGACATCGATCTTGTTGAAGTGGAAAGGAGCGAGAAATGCTGCAACTGCTGTAGCATTGTCATCAGCCGAAGAAATGGAATGGACCATATCGTCAAGGCATTCAAGGCCTTTATCTGAAAGTGCCTCTGAAACTAATTTGTTTGAGTTAATAGCGATTTCATTGTTATCTTTAACTGTGAAAGCGCGTGTGTGAATGAGCTGGCGGATGAATTCAACAGTAGGAACACCGTAAACAATTGTGTGGGCGATTGATTTAAGTTTCTGACGATTTTCTTGTGTAAGAGCAACAAAAACGCCATCAAACTGATCATTTAAGCGATATTCTGTAAGAATTGTACGAACTTCCTTGCATAAATACTCTTTCTTTGGTGTGACACGAACAACAAGTGCAATTTTGTCCTCCTCAGATGGCTGTGGGAAATTCTTGCTAACTGGGCGCTTTGTGTTAGCTAGGAATTTCTTTTTGTCAGTCTGTAACTGGCGGTTTTTAGATACTAATGATTCAGGACGTATGAATCTCTCTTGCTTTTTAACAGTGATTTTGGTTCCTTCACGGATATGGTTCTTTTTTGTACGCTTTGTATAGTCACGCCTTTGCTTGCGGAAGGCAACTTCTCTCTCAGTTCCAGCCATTGTGTCACTTTTAAGGACACTTTGAGGGGAATCAAAATTTTTTTATATTGGGGGAGGAAAAAATTGAATTCAAATAAAATTTTACACCCCCTACATAATAATTTTTTTTAAATGCAATTAAAAACTACAATTATTTCATTACTTTGTTTAGATTTAATAATAGAATCATTACTAATATTGCTTGAATACAAGCAGTACAGAAGATATATGAAGCATCCACTTCAATTTGAGTATTTTTCAATACGTTATTCAATACTTAAATTATCTTCTCAGTATTTATCAATTGCTCTTTCACTAGGTTCATTAATTTATATTATTTCAAACTTTCATCGCTATGTAAATAGATTTTCTTCAGATTTAAAGTTCACAATATTCAATTACACAATATATTTCATTTTTGGATATGCATTTCCAAGAATTTACGATCAATATATTGTTGAAAGTAAAGTTAAATATAATGTCGCTTCAATTAACTATCTATTATCGCATTTAGCTTTTATTTATGTATTAATAGGTGCTGCATTATCATTAATAGTTACTATTATTAACAAAATTTATCGTGAAGATTCAAATCAGCTTCAAGATATCGATTACGAAAAAAAGGATTCAAATAGTAACGTAATAAACCCATCTCCGAAAAGTCCATGGTTCACAATCTTCATACTACTCTCATTAATTGCTTTAATAGTTTCATTTCTTAATGGTTACGACTTACATTCGATTAATGCAAAATATCACAAAAGTTCAGAGCAATTTTTCAAAGATATAACAACATATGTGATCAATGATCATGTTAGAACGAAGCATGCAAGAATTTTTTTACGGGGATTATTTAATCCAAAAATTATTTACTCAGATACATTGATAAATGTCATGCACAAAGGTGATATCAAAAAATTGGCAATTGTTGAATACGAAATGAATAGACATCAGATTCCTTTTATGAAATTATTTTTAAATATTTTTAAAGTATTTTTGTTTTCGCTTCTAATACGCAATATTCATCATGCTGGATTAACTTCATTATGTGAAAGTGATTCACTACCCGCAGGAAGATTATTAATTGCCACATTTGCGTTGTATGTACCATTAATGTTCTTTATGGCCCCGATAGAGAACATATTATATAAACAGAAAATTTATGCTTCAGATTGCTCTGCAATGATGAAATCTGGAAATATTTCGCAAACATTATTAGATTATTATAGCTGGAATGGATTAAATATAAAGCAAAAACCATTATATGCTTTAGCATATATGAATTTTCCACCAATTATGCAAAGATTAGCAAACCTACACTCATGTAGGAAATATTAACTTATGTTATTGTTATTTTGTTAAGAATATGATTGTAAATAGAATTTGTTATGCATACATAGTAATATTATTTATAAACAAACAAAATAAGAAAATATATAATTTGATATCACATATCTACTGGGATTTTTGCAAGAGAAAGTTCAGATGATGAAGATGATCCATCATCAGAAGGTTTCAAAGCGTCAGTAATATATGATGGTATTTGTAAACTTGATTGTGCAGTAATTCCTGCATTCATCCCGCTTTCGAGTGATTGAGCTTTATCTTGACCAAAAAATATACTTGATTGACGAAATTTTTGTACTTTGGGACTATTCAAATTCAAATTAAATCTCAGAGAATTTAATGCATCAGTTTCTGATGCTGTTTTCGTTATGGAACCTCTTCTAGTACCTTTATCGGCTTCAGGAGGAATTTCATAGTGATCAGATGGAGACTCTTCGCTTTCGGAAAGAACAAATGTCGAAAGATTTGTTGAGAAGTTATTTGTTTTTGTTCCTTTATTACTTTCCCCATCTTCTTCTTCATAATAATAACTGTAATATGAATCTTGATCTCGACTTTGAAGTAATGGAGTTTTTTCTTGATCATCTACATTACTGTGTTGTTGCACACTATTGTTAGAATATTTTTTACGTCTCCGATGCTTTTTCTTTCCAGTTTTGAATTCATTGAGTTTTTCTTTGTCAGAGCATGACTCTGGCTCATCATTTTCAATAATTTTCTGACGAATTAAGTACTTGTAATAGAAAAAGAATACAGAACCACCAATAGCAGCTAATATGGTACCAGCTATTATCAAAGAACCTGAAATAACGACTGGCTCTCTGTTAAATGTAGCCGTTGGTGTTGCCAATGGTCTTGTTGCTAAAGGCCTCGTCCTTGTTGGTGTTTCTTCTAATGCAACATTTGATAGGAATAAAAGAAACATTATGAATTCAAAGAAATTTTTTTGTAAAATAGCTTAATATTGAATTGATAACCGTTTTTACATTTGTGAACTTGGCAGTAAGGAATTAACAATTGATTGCAATTCAATAGAAGTTAAAGATTTCCGATGGATTAATTTTACGTTACGAACTCAATTTTCTGGGCAAAAGTTCCATTGGTACAGTGATAGTTGGCTAAGGTTGTCTTAGATTAATAATTTATGCATGCCAAACAACTTCACATGGCTATAGTTGCATCTTTTCACTCGAATATTATATTCAATTAGAAATCCATAACAATACAAATTAGCATATATGAGCATTGGTAAACCTATAGCTCAAAAAAGCTGTGAAATGCTTATTCGTGTTGATTTATATATATTTCGAAAATCCTATTCGAATTTGAATGTGTGGGTATTCTATTGAATATTTAGAGACTAAAAATCATGTTGATTGGTTTTGATTTTTTTTACAAACAAAATATAAAATCGATATAATAACTTATAAATCAGAACCAAGCTTAGCTATTGATAATTCTGATGAAGAAGAAGATTCATCATCTGAAGGTCTAAGTGCATCAGTAATGTATGAAGGAATATTTATACTACTTTGGGAAGTGATTCCTTTACCTTCTTCATTTGAAAGAGGTGTTGGTTTGAACTGCTCTGTACTCATAGTTGCATCTGAAAGCCTTTCACGTGCTTTCTTTTGAATTTCTTCATTTAATTTATTTTGAATTGCCATCAATGCATCATTTTGTGATGCAGTTCTGACAATCTGCATACTATTTTTCTGATTGTATTCATCGGTGTTATTTGGCGCAACAATTTCATATTCTGCAAGTAAATTGTCAGCATCTGTTAGAATAAAAGCGGATCCATTCGTTACCATGATACTATCTGGAAAAGCGGGTTGTGATTTAACGGAAAGACTTGCCTGATCTTCCTCCTCTTCTACTATTCCCTCTTCTTCTCCTTCACCAAATTCTTCCTCTTCATAAGAGTAATAGCTGTAGTCCGAATTTGATTCTGGAAGTAATGGTTCGCCCTCTGGAATGGTTGGTGTGTTCTTGCGAGGATGATGACCATGTACTCTGTGTTTTTTTGACTTCCTTTTGAGATTTTTGAAATTCTTGTCTTTTTTTGATCCAGTTTCATTTTCAGAATTTTCCTCGACATCTTTTTTTGCATCTGTAAACGAAAAAGTAAATTGTAACAGCAATTGCGGCCACTGACATCACAGTAAGGAAGAATGATCCTGAAATTATTGATGGTTTTCGATTAAATGTGCGTGAAGGTGTGGGTGCTGGCCTTGTTCTTAGAGGAACTTCATCTGATATAGCAATTGAGAAGAGGAAAAATAGCATAATAAAGAAAACTGAAATGTGGATTTAATTTTTTGAATGATAATTCAATAATTGCATGATTGTTAAAGTTGATATTCTGGATGAGAGAATTGTTTAATGATCTTATAAAATTCCGAGTCAGAGATCTCTTTTCAAAATTTTTGCTGTTTTTGCAGAAAATAATTTAAGATATCATATAATTTCGGGGTTATTCGGATGTGAGGTTAAAAAACGTATTTGCATGAAGCGGTTAAGCGTCAGATAGATTTTAAAGAAATAAAATAAATAATGAATACACGATTTCAGTAAAAAATTTCATCTTTCTAATTTTGATAAACTTCACAATCAATCTTTTACTGTTCACATTCAATTTTAATAGTTTGATTTATCATGTTTGTTATTCAATTGTATGACCAAATGACGAAATAATGAATTTATTTAATTTCAAATCAAAATTCTTTTTGCCTAATAGGAAACAGATACACTTAGAAAGCAAGCCATTATTCAAGTATCTTTATATAATTGTATCAACTAACAAAGCTTACGGCTTCTTTTCTTCATATATTTCAATCATTCAATATCATTATAATTTAATAAAATTATTCCAAAAACTTAGAAAATACTTAAACATTATCAATTGTAAGGAAACGGAAATTGGTAATAGGAATAAAATAGTACTTTTACAAAAATTATGAAATTTTCAATTAATTGATAAAAATTGTATGGTTAAAAAATGTTTGATTCTAGTAATTTAATGTTTTGATGAGAATTCTTCTAAATTTTTAAAAACATTTTTGAATGAAAAATAAGGCCAAGATAGTGAAATTTCGCCTTTTGACACTATTATATTACAAGGTATTGTGAAGGAATCTGTTGAATCGATTCAGGAACTTAAATTAATGTTGGTTCTTGTAAAATTTCTGTTATGGAATTGCAAACCTCGCTACTTACTTTAGGGTTGGCTGCTTGTTCATTTGTTACTAATTTAATTTTAAGCTTTGGGGGTAATTTCTGTATATTTTGCAAATTTCGTTCTAAAGTTGTCTCTTTAGGATTATCAATAAGTTTTCCGCTTTTATCAAGTTTATAAACAACTTGGCGATTCTTGTTAAAACGGCTAACGAAAACAATGTGTGGATTTAGGGCAGGAAGTCGAACCATAAAAATAAAATCGGTTTCAAAATTTTAAAATTCTTATAGTTTGATAATAATTGCGAGGAACTTATGAATAAAAGGATTTGAACCTTTTTTATACCATTTTTTGAGAGGATGAGATTTTGATAAAAATCTTGAGGTTTATGGTCAAACAAAAAGAAATAAATAGGATACAACTATAGTTTACAACCATTCCATATTTTCGAATAATTTTGATTTATCTCAGCTAGATTCCGAGAAAAAGTGAATTCTAGTTTTTACAAAGAGACATCTTAATCAACGACAATTTGACGCTGATCATCCCGTGTTTAAGAGTTTCTAATATGTGTAGATGAACAACATTATTAGTTTATCTATATTTCGAAAATATCAGTGGATAATTTACTGAAAAAGGTAGAAATAAAGCATCATTTTGCATTCAATAAAGACTTTATTTATAATAATAACTCAATATAAATATAATAAAAAAGAAAAGTTGTATGAAAAATTAATTTGTTTCTGGAGCTGGAGTTCCATCCTCTTGAGCATCAGCATCTTCGACAATATCAGGAATGAACACATCAAATGTTTCTCCTGTGACAGCGATAAGTCCTGGAATCTGTGGATGGTAGTGGAGTTCCTTTGGCTCGGCAATTGGATGTTCGAACATCATCTGGTCAGGAATACCTTCTTCGCGGTCTTCTGGATCGAAAGCTTCGACAGAAATGTCCCAAACAGTGACTCTTCCGTCTTCTGATGATGCTGCGAGCTCTGTTTCGTCGTTGGGGTTCCACTCGATGGATGTGATCGCATCCTGATGGTAATCGATTGAGAATGCTGGGCCGTTTTCGTCAGATGCGTTTCTGATATCCCAGACGTTGATTTGACCATCGTCTGAGCCTGTAGCAATGAGGGTCTTCTGGATACCATTCCAGTCGAGTACATTAATATCGATTTTATCTGCTGGGTTGGCTTCTGGATCTTTTTCAAGATTACGACCCTGGAATTTGAGGATTGGAGCCTTGAGATCACGGTTATCCCAGATACAGACGTAGCCATCACTACTGCATGTTGCAAAGATGCCGTCATCCTGTGGAGAAAAGACGATATCTTCAACACTGTCGGCGTGAGCTGGGAACTGAGAAAGCTGACGGAATGAGCTTCCATCCTGCTTCCAAAGCTGAATGATGCCGTTGACATCACCGTAAGCTAATAAGCCTTGCTGGATTTTAGACCATGCGAGGCCGTAACCTTCATCATCTGCTGGGCACTCGTGAAGCAAATTGACGGCTCCATCACCAGAATCTGTGTTTGATGCATTAATTGCGTCTTTGATATCCCAGATGCAAACGCCTGCGCTTTCTGTCCATGTTGCGACAACATTTGTATTTTGTGGCATGCATCTTACTCTGTTAGCACATGATGGGTGGAAATTGCCGCAGACACGGATCTTTGGATCTGGAAGATCTTCTTCTGCTGTGCCATCATTCTTAGTATATTGAAGCTCGCTGATTTTTGTGACAAGGAGTTGATTTTCGTCCTCTGATTCTGCTTGTGTTGCTGAAACAAAGTAGGCAGTATGTGGAAATGTACGACGAGATGCACCTAATGTATCCTGAATAACATCAAATGATAGGCATGGCCATTCGAAGTTCATCTGGAAAAAGGATTGGTAAATATCATTAGTAAAGCCCCAATCTTCTTCCTCCATTACTAAGTCTATGCTGAGTTGTCACTTTTGAAAGCCAAAATCTTGAGAGACATTTTACTTTTTTAATATGAAATTATTGTAGTCTATAGTGTATTAAAGAATTTTCAAATAGCCAATCCCTGCAAATTCTCAAAATCTTCTAAAAAATTTAAAATTATCTCAATTTATTAGCATGACCATGCATTTTGGAAGAATTCCAATCAAAGTGTATCATAAATTTTGTTATAATATTGTAAATAAAAAAAATGATAAAAAATACTTAAGTAATAGAAAATCATACAATTTAGTCCTCTTCCTCATCCTCGTCGTAATCATCTGGATTCAAAATTTCATCGGCAATATTTCCCAAAGTTTGCTTCAGCGCGTTTAAAACCTGAGCTGATGGATATCTTCCCTTTTCTTTAATATTTCCTGTGAATATTTTGAGGGTTCCACCGGCCAATCTTTGAACAACTCCTTTTGCCGCTTCTGCCAATTTAATTTTCATTTGTTTGAGCTGAGCAGCTGCTTTATCATCTCCTTGTGGGTTAGATTCCGATAATTTCTGGTTTTCTAAGGTTAATTTTTGAAGTTGTTCTTCAAGTGACTTTTTTGTATTTTCTGATTGCTTAATGAGATCATTTAATCGTTTTGTATCATTTTCGGTATTCTTTTTAGCTACCTGAAGTTTGTTTTCTGATGAATCTCTTTCAAGTTGTTCATCTTTCTTGTAATTTTCAGAAATATTCTTAAGTTCCTCTTCTAATCTATTTATATTATTATTTAAGGCTGTTGTATCAATTGGTTGTGAGTATTCTGCTAATTCTTTATTTAATTGCTGAATTTTTGATCGTAAGTTAACTCTTTCTTCGCGATCAACAAAAACAGATGAAAGTTCATCAATCTGTGATTGAAGTTCTGTAAGAATTCTGTTCTTTTGAGCTGATTCAGTCGCAATAGAACGAACTTGTTGAAGCATTTTTTCATTTGACAGGCAAACATGACGGTATTGCATTGGAGGTGGATTAAATGACTGTATTTCGAGTTGTAATTCATCGAATTTTTGTTGAATCATTTTCTTAAATTGAGAAAGAGAAGTTTCTACGTCAGTTTTAGTATAAACTTTCTTTCCCTTTGCTTTTGGAGCTGAATGCTGTGGTTGCTCCACTGGTTTTTCTGGTTGCTTTGGTTGTTCAACATTTACTGGTTTTGGAGGTTCATTTTTCTGTTCAACAGGTTTTTCAACTTGTGGTTCTGGTGATAATTTCGGTAGTTCTGGCGGACTTTGCTGTGGTTGTGGAATTGGGGGTAATTCATTTTCCGATTTTGGAGTAGGAGTTGAAGTAATGCTTAGTAAAACAAGATTGTTTTCTTGCGTGGGCGCTTCTTTGGGTTTGTATGGGGCTTTTACGCCAAAAAGTGAATCTCCATCGTCCGAAGAATCTCCAAAAAGATCAGCGCTCATTCTTATAAAAACCGTCATTTTTCTCCATGAAATTCGACACATTTTCAACCGAAATGAATTAATATAAAACATATCACCATGGATAAGTATTTAAGTTTTAGTCTTCAAATTGAAAAAACACCCGCACTTAGAGATGAAACTTTGCGAATACAAGGGAATTAAGAATTACAGCTTCCTGACAAATAAGTACATAGATAGTTACGAAAATTGGAGTCTATGAAATTTCTAAATTCATATAATTCTCCAAATGTATTGCCTCAATCTTTTTTGAATAATGGTTTTACTGCTCATAATTGACTGCTGTAATTTAAAATGCTATAATTAATAAACCAAGAAAAAAAATACACTTTACTTCTAAAATCTTAAAATTATTAACTTAACCTCTGTTAGTTCTGATATTTCTAATAGCAACAGCAGCAGCCATTTGAAGTTCTCTATCTGTACTTGAAACCATCATCAATAAGTATTCTACAACACCCGCATTGCTTAGTTTCTTAGAGTTCTGAGCATCTTCACTCAGAGCTTTAAGAGCTTTAGCTGTAGCGGCATGAACTTCTGGATTATTTGATGGTGGCTGGAGATATGATACTAATGGATCAACAGCACCTTCTTGGCCGAAATGATGTCTGTTATCTCCATAAGCTGCGGCAACACCAATTGCATTTGCTAAGGGGGTTCTTACTGAATCTTTTGTTGTGGAAAGTAGTCTAGAAAGTAATTCAACAAGGCCCAGATCGGTCATGAAAGCAAGATTTTCTGTATCGCGTGCAACTTCTGTAATTGCCATACAAGCGCTTTCTTGAACATCTGAATCATCACTCTTTAGAAGTCCAACAAGCAAATCTAAACCATCAACAAATGTTCTGACAATTGTTGGTGAATCTGGTGACTTCAAGAATGGAACAAGTGCACGTGTTGCAGCAGCTTGAACAGCAGAATATGGAGATTTCATTAATGACCATAGTGTTCTAACACCATTAAGTTGCATTAATTGCTGAAGATTTGACTTCTGGTTGCAGCAAGTTCCAATTGCTTTAGCTGCATAAACAATATAATCAGGATCTGTTGATGAGAGATATTTCAACAAATCTGGAATCATATTCTGCTTCTGTGTCCATTCAAGGCATGAATTGTTCAATGTCAAAACGCCAAGAGCTTTGAGAACACCTTGAATAACTTTCGGACTATCGCTCTTCCAAAGCCTCTGGAGCTTAGCATGAATAGCAGGAATAAATGCATCTCTGATGCTTGGAATTTCGCCAAGAGTAACAACACAATTAAGGCCGGATAAGATAACATTTTCATTCTTGCTATCAAGCATTGTCATCAAGTTTGTTGGGCCATCTTGAGCCTTTGAACAGAATAATTTCTGTAATTCTTCATCTATTGGGTAGCATGTTAAAGCCATAGCTGACCATGATACGCATTCATCATCTGTTGACTTTAGACCTTGGCAGAAGAATTTGATGTGATATGGTTTCAAAGGTTCGAATATCTTTGGACCATATTTAGGAAGAGAACATAGCAAACGTGTGATATTTGTCATTTGGTTATCATTTGCATTGCATGGATTTGTGTATCTTTCAAGTTCAATCATTAAGTGAGAGTCAATCATAGCTTTTGTTGCTTCGGCTGATCTGTTGACTGACCAGAGTGTATAGCAAACATCTGAAACTAAATCACTCTGTTTGATGAATACAATTAATTGCTCAATACCACCGACTTGAATGAAAAAGTTGCGAAAAGCGGTGTTGTGACAGCAGTTTGCAATTGTTGTAAGTAAATCTGGCATTAAAGTCATTTCTTCTCTTCTAAGGAGATCAAATAATAAATTCACGAAATCTTGGTTTGCCAAATGCCTTCTGATAAGTGCATTGAGAGAAATCATAGCGAATATACGAAGAGCATAGATCTGTTGAGTTGTTCTAGTATCTCCGTAGTTGTGTGTTTGTTTGAATCGAAGGATATCACGAAGAGCAGGAATAGAACCGGTTGAATAAATAGCGCGCTGGCCAGATGCTTCTTTGAAAACTGGATTCTCAGACAATTCCTTAAGATCGTTATTTGTTGGATCAGACGTTTCTGGGTTGCCAAGTGCCTTTAGTTTGGCATGTAAGCTCCAGTATTCACCCTCAGTTGATGAAGGTTTGTTGAATTGAACAATCTTTTCATCATCTTCTGGCTGATTTTCTTCAGCATCTTCTTCGCCAGTAGGGCTTTCTGGCTGTCTTAGAACAAGAACCGGTTGTGGAAGAGAAACAAGTGAATTCTGTGCGATTTCGCGAGAGACGGCCAAATTTTCACTGTCTGAAATTTCACCTTTAACTTTAGCGTCATATGTACTGTCAAAGTGCTTAGATATATCATGTAAGACATCTACAATTGATTTCATTTCTGGTCCATCCTCTTCGTAGTTTAATTCTTCAGAAGCGCTTTTCTTTTCGATTGAATAGCCCTTGATTTTAAGGCATTTGCCGTTTTGCTTGCATAATATGATTACAATTCCAGCATCATGTGTAGAAACAATTACAATGCCGTAATCGCCTTCAGCTTCTCTCCACGGAGGAGCATGTGTGCCTGAAGGAGAAATATAAGAACTTTCCCATCTAATCCATTTGAGTGGGTGTCTTTGAGCATTGGCACCTGCTAATTTGCTAAGCTCAATTACTTCATTATCAAATTTATCCATCTGCGCAATGATTTAAAATTTATTTGTACGTTTAGTAATCACTACTTGGCACTTTTTTATCATTATTGGCGTGATGCACCGGTAAAATTCTTATATCCGCTTTAAGGGAAAATGAGTATGTAATCAAGAAGATGGATTACGAGAGGGAAAAACGAATACTTTGTTTCTTGATTTGGGTTCTGGGAAGAAAGTTTACAACAAAATTTATCTACCTTGCAATCTTTCTTCTTAATTACAAATATGCATGTGAAAATATAACTCTTACGTCCTAATACACTAAAAGAGCTTAGTAAACATTAAAAAAAAATAATACAGATATATTGAAGAAATAAAAGCTAAATTTTATATGTTTACAAGTATTGCCAAACAAGTTATGATAAAAGAAAACTTTCTATAAGTATTAAATTGCATAAGAAAATAAAATTGGTTAATTTAAAGATCAAAGACAGATTTTCTTGGTCTTTGTTTCACCAATTCGTTAACTCTATTACAAGATGTCTTAGGAAGGCTATGTGTGGATTCTGCTTTGCATTTTTCCTTCATAAAGTTAATATATTCAGAATCTGCAACATCTCGTATGAATCTAGTTAATTCTTGAGGACTAACCCCACCTAATTTTCGATAAACAGTAACATAAACATCGTAAGGTATCTGGAAAGGTTCCTGTGAGTATAATGTTGTAAAATCAATGTATTTTCTATCAGCATTTTTTGGCATACCATTAAATACTAGATTAGACTTTATCAAACTTTCTATATTTCCTGATCCCATTCTCTGTACAAATGAATTGAGCAAAATCATAACAATAAAAATAACAAGAATTGATAGAAGATGGAAATTCCTGAATGGATGTAAATTCTGCTCTTGTGGTCTTGCATAATTGTATCTGCGAAAATGTACGTTGCCAAATGGAAAATCATCAAAGTCATCTCCAAAGCCAAATTGATGAAAACCGAAGAATTGTCTGGATATATCTGGATCTATTTCTTGTACAAAGACGCGAGCTCCCTCTGCTTCTTGAGCTCTCATTGGTCGTGGACCTGTTTCTCCGTATAAATCGTATTGTCTTCTTTTGTTTTCATCAGAAAGGACTTCGTAGGCGTGTGAAACTTTTTGAAATGCTTCGGTAGCTTTTTCGTGCTTGCATCTGTCTGGATGAACTTTCAATGCAACTTTTCTGTAAGCTCTTTTAAGAGCTTCTTGATCAACATTTCTATCTACCTGCAAGACATCATAATATGTTGGCGAATTTAAAATTCTTGATATTTCATCATCCATTTTCTATATAATGATTTTGAAAATTTTTGTAATTTGGTCACTTTTGGATCGTAAAAAAAAATAATTGATAAGACCTTCTTGATACATCAGTACAGCGCTTTCTGCTAAGATTTTGTACATATAATGATAAATGTAATTATTTTTGAACTGATTTTCTAATTTGGAGTCATTCTCAAGCCTATAAATTCAAGTATAGTCCACAGCATTTGCTATGACACATCAATGAGCTTCATAATGTTAATTATTGTTCAAGAAAATTAGATCTTTCGAAATATAAAAGAAATTCTTTTCATTTTTGATGGAAATTACCTATGAACATATTTTAATGGATTTTCTATTTCCTTGGAATTACGACTTGTAAAGTAAACGGCTTTTCATTTTGATGAGTCAGGACCTTATTCATAACTTTGAATACATTGCTGCTCACATCAAAGATTACATTGATGAAAATAAGTTATTCGGTGTGTTTGAAACACAAGATATCAAAAAATCATGAAATTTTCACATTTGACAACAAAAGACTTCATCGATCTTCTCAAACAATCAGATCCTACAATCAAAGCAAGCGAGTTATACAAATGCACTCGAAATGCAAATATTTCTATTCAAAATTTCGAAGAAGTTGTTTCAATTCTTAAATCAATCAAGAAATACATGAAACTTGGAATACTTGATAGTGTTATTGACTTCTTAATGCAAACACAAAACGAAATACCTAATTCTACAAAGAAAATCCAGCAATTTCAAATAGATTCTAAACTTCTATCAAAAATTTCAGAACTTAAGGAATCAGGTGATTTCGAAAGTATCTACAATTTCCTTGATGAACTTTCATCTCAAGGAAATCAAACAATGATTTCAAAATCATGTGAAGAAGGACTTTGGAAAAAGACATCAAGAAATTTTGTATTTGGTACTGAAATGAATGTCCTTCATGAAGCAAGCGAAAAAGGGAATTTAAAACTTGTTAAATCTCTTATTGAATGTGGCTGTGATAAAGAAACAAATGGGAAATGGGGAGAAACTCCACTCATCATTGCATCAAAAAATGGTGATCTTGAAGTTGTTAAATATCTTATTTCTGCTGGAGCTGATAAAGAAGCAAAGGATGAAAATGGATGGACTTCACTCATTTATGCATCAGAATATGGTCATCTTGAAGTTGTTAAATATCTTATTTCTATTGGATGTGATAAAGAAACAAAAGATAAAAGGATGTATACTCCTCTCATTTCTGCATCATATAATGGTCGTTTTGAAGTTGTTAAATATCTTATCTCTATTGGAGCTGATAAAGAAGCAAAGGATGAATTTGGAAATACTCCACTCATTTATGCATCAAGAAATGGTCATCTTGAAGTTGTTAAATATCTTATCTCTGTTGGAGCTGATAAAGAAGCAAAGGATGAAAATGGATGGACTTCACTCATTTATGCATCAGAATATGGTCATCTTGAAGTTGTTAAATATCTTATTTCTGTTGGTGCTAAGAAAGATGCAAAGGTTAAGTAGTGAAAATCTGCGATGATTTAAATACTTTTTATTGAATTTTTTATAAATAAATTAATAAAATTTGAATATTTTTGAAATAACACTATTGATTTTAAGATGTTCACCAAAACCATTTATCATTTGAAGTAAATAATTTTTTCAAATGATGAATTAAAACATTAATTTAAAAATTGTATTTATGGCCGATAGGAAGGTTTTACTAATATATAAAAATAATAAAAATATATATATAAAACAAAAATATATATTATCAAATTAAAAAAAATTACTTTTGGAAGCCCTTCTTGATCTTTTGAGCTAATGAATCAGGGGTACTTCCGTTTTTAATCTTTTCAAGAATCAAATCTCTCAAAGAAACATGTTTTTCCATTCGAATAAGTAAATTAACAGAATTTTGAGTAATATTTGTTAATAACTCTATAATATCTCTTGAATTTTCTTCATTCTCGCACGCGGATGATAAAAGCAATCTCGAAATTTCGGAATTTTCTAAATTTTCCAAATTTTGTTTCAAAACAGCCTTTGGTATTCTAATTCCATTTGAAGCTAATGCTATGTATGATGCCGTTGATAATCCTTTCAAATCTTCATTCTGTGTGTATTTTTCAAGTAAAATAATCGGAATTCTTTTATATTCGCCAAGCGACAGGAGGCAGCGCAATGCAGCGGTCTGTAGACTAATATCTGTGCTGTTCAACCCTTGTACGCATCGATCTGCCACAATGTATTTCAATTGTAGTTCAACTCCTTTAACTGAAGAGACTTCTAGTGCCAAAGCGATATCCTTTGGGTTAACGCAGTAAATAGATGCTAAGTCGTGGCATGAATTCTTGCAAGCCGAGATAACAATATTTGTATCTGTCCCAGGATTGCCTGTCGGAAGGTTTTCCACGAACTTTGCCATGATACTAGATGGTATTGAGTTCGGCGGCATCTGTCTGAGCAATTTTGAGACGAAATATACTTTTGATGTTTGGAAGAAAACGAATAAAAGCCTAGAAAGCTGTTCCGGGTTACTTATTACGAAAGCCGAGTAAATTGATTCAACAATCTCCCAGCAACTATCAATACATATTGGTGGAAGACCCACTTTTTCAATTAACTTTACAGTGTCAAAAATTTGATTATTTTCTTTCAAATCTTTGAAGGACTTTTCGACCATGTTAATGAGTAACTCACCTTCCGTTGCACTTTTTTCTATATAATAGAGTACTTCTTCTGTGTTACTACCATCGAACATCACCAATCCTTGTTTGAATAATTTTACGATATCATCGAAATTTGGTCTCGTATTTGGATCGCGATCCCAGCATAGTGTTATTAGGTCCCGCATGGCCATGTTGCCTTGTTCTGGAAGGTGTGGCCTTGCATCGAAATTCAAAACTTCCGAAATAATCTGTTGGCTACCGAAACCGTCGTAAGGAGTTTCAGAAGTCAACAATTCCCACAACAAAACACCATAAGCGTAAACGTCAACTTTCGATGTATATCTTGATCCTCTTTTTAGTACTTCAGGAGCCATCCAATGCGGTGTACCGATGTTGCTGGTCATCTCTGTTGACTGTTCTGCGAACCGTGAAAACCCGAAATCGCAGATTTTAACCTTTTTGTTCGAATCTAATAAAACATTCAAGGATTTTAAGTCCCTGTGAACGATCTTCCTTGAATGAAGGAACTGCATACCTCGTGCTATATCAAATGCTGCTATTGTACGGAGCGTGGCATTCATGTGGCCAGGAGTATGGATGGCTTTGTAAAGAGATCCACCGTCCATCCACTCAGTTATGATGCAGAATGGCCAGGAATCGGTTGCTCCAATGAGTCTGAGTAGTGCTGGATGCTGGGCTGTGGCAAGAACGGCTACTTCGCGTTGATCTGATTGGAATTTGGCAGAATTCAGTTTTTGGAAGGTAAATTTCTTAATGGCGACGTATTCTCCGGTTCTTTTATGCTTGCCGTAATAGACATGTGCGGAAACACCACGGCCAATTTCTTTAATTTCCTCAAAATCATTGTAATCAACGAGCCATGATTGATAATTGACAGGAATAGGAGAGAATGTTCTAACAACTAAACTTTCATCACTGTTTTTAGAGAGAATTTCTTCTATTGATGAAAGTCTAGCTTTGACTTTATTTAAAAGAACTTCTGAGATATTTGGCTGCTTGATATATTGAGTAAATGATGCAAGAATTGCACGGAGATCAAGATTATTAAATTGCTGCCATTCTGGCGCATTGACATTGATGATATTAGAAAAATCCTCTCCATATTTTTCAACAGCATTGTGAAATTTAGTAAATAAGTCAAGTAATTGATCTAAAATAAAATTTGGTGGATTCTCAATTGTTGGATAAGTCCAGGTTTGAATTATATTTTGACTGAAAATTTGCAATAATGGATGGAAGAATGAAAGAATTTCATCAACTGCTTCATCTGTATCTCTGGGAACTTGCGAAACAGCGTCAGAACAGAATAATTTTACAAATTTTCTGACAATAACTAAAGCAAATTCGAATTTCTTCCTATGGACAACTGTTTGGTCGCCCATTGTTTCTAAGTTCCTGAAATGAACTTGTATTTCAGAAACTTTGTTTTTAGTTGCCATTTAAAAAAAAATTGTAAATGTCAAATATTTACTTGTCAAAATTTTGAAATTAATTTTTGATCCAATGCCGTTTTTCCATCTTTATTAATTGCTTCTTTATCAGCTCCAACAGAGATAAGATATCTAACAACTTCAAGACGACCTTGACTTGATGCAGAAATGAGTGGAGTATATCCCCGATTATTCTTTGCTTCTTTATCAGCTCCAACAGAGATAAGATATTTAACAACTTCAAGATGACCTCCTCTTGATGCCCAAATGAGTGGAGTATATTTATAGCTATCCTTTGCTTCTTTATCAGCTCCAACAGAGATAAGATATTTAACAACTTCAAGATGACCTCCTCTTGATGCCCAAATGAGTGGAGTATATTTATAGCTATCCTTTGCTTCTTTATCAGCTCCAACAGAGATAAGATATTTAACAACTTCAAGATGGCCATTTCTTGATGCATAAATGAGTGGAGTATATCCCCAATAATTCTTTGCTTCTTTATAAGCTCCAATAGAGATAAGATATTTAACAACTTCAAGATGACCATTTTCTGATGCTTTAATGAGTGGAGTATTTTCATATTTATTCTTTGCTTCTTTATCAGCTCCAACAGAGATAAGACATTTAACAGTTTCAAGACGACCAAGTCCTGATGCATAAATGAGTGGGGTATATCCCAAATCATTCTTTGCTTCTTTATCAGCACCAACAGAGATAAGATATTGAACAACTTCAAGATGACCTTCTCTTGATGCCAAAATGAGCGGAGTACATTTATAGTAAGTTCTTGTTTCTTTATCACAACCACAATCAATAAGAGATTTAACAAGTCTGAGAATTCCTTTTTCACATGCAACATGAAGGACATTCTTTTCTTCATCATATTTATCTTTTTTAAGAGCTATCTTTTTCCAAAGTTCTTCTTCACATGATTTTGAAATCATCTTTTGATTGCCTTGAGATGAAAGTTCATCAAGAAAATTGTAGATACTTTCGAAATCATCTGATTCCTTAAGTTCTGATATTTTTGATAGAATTTCATTCTCATTATAGCTTTTTTCTTTAATCTGTTCAACTTTTGTTTCTTTGTCACTTTTTGGGGGTTGATTTTGATTTGAATTCAAATCTGTTTGAAGTTGTTGGATTTTCTTTGTAGAATTAGGTATTTCGTTTTGCGTTTGCATTAAGAAGTCAATAACACTATCAAGTATTCCAAGTTTCATGTATTTCTTGATTGATTTAAGAATTGAAACAACTTCTTCGAAATTTTGAATAGAAATATTTGCATTTCGAGTGCATTTGTATAACTCGCTTGCTTTGATTGTAGGATCTGATTGTTTGAGAAGATCGATGAAGTCTTTTGTTGTCAAATGTGAAAATTTCATGATTTTTTGATATCTTGTGTTTCAAACACACCGAATAACTTATTTTCATCAATGTAATCTTTGATGTGAGCAGCAATGTATTCAAAGTTATGAATAAGGTCCTGACTCATCAAAATGAAAAGCCGTTTACTTTACAAATCGTAATTGCTTCAAAATAAATGTCGTAAATTTACCACATTTTTACACTTTTTGAATTGAAAATTCAAAAAGTGTAAAAAAGGTTGTCATTCTTTATGCACTTTTTCAATAAAATTTTTCATTTTCATTTTGAATACTTCACAAAATTTGGGTGGCAAATTGAAAAAGTGAAAAAGAATAATTACTTTTCCCTTTTATTTATTCAACTAACTTTTCAAACACATTTTTTCTTAACTTGAAACATCCTTAATTTTTTACCTTCGCAACGCAAATATGGAGAAATTTTTCGAAATTATAGAACTATTTGAAATATAATAGAGACCAATACTGAAATGGAAGTATAGGATATCATAGAGCCTTTATAATGGTAATACTATAATGAACAAATGCTAAAATTTGACTAAGTTAGAATCAATTTTTTGATCTCAGGGAAATTAAAAATTTTAGGGTAATTTTTCAATAAAAAATAAAAATATTATATCTCAGACACTTCCGAAACAATTTTTTGCAAATGAGTTTATATAATTCGTTAGAATTAAAAATAATTTTCAAAAAATTAGAAAATAGAAATTTAATAACAAACAATATATATAATATATATACAAATATCAATTAATTAACTCCAATGGAACCTTTGCAGCACTTTTAAACTCATCAGGTACTGATTGAATGTTTAGCCATTGTTCTGTAAACTTAATTGTTGAGCAAATACCAGATGATTGTGTTGCTGATAGAAGTAGCTCCCAAAATGACTTCAATTCTTGACTAATTTTGAGATCTTCCATTGATTTCTTAGTTCTCCTTAATAATTCAAGTATCAATGCAAGATTGGCCTTCTGTATATGGAACAAAACATCAACTGGGTTACTTTCGAAGGTTGCAGTGATACATTCTCCAATTAGACCAGAAAGCATCGTAATGCTCTTAAATAACTGAGGAGGAGTCATTTCTTGTTCATCTGGTGATAGATAACTGGGATTTTTAATGACTTTTTTAACTGGTTTAAGAGAATTTTTGTAAAAAGCGTTGTCAAGCTTTTGGCACTTCGAATTGTTTCTGTCTATGAGACAAAGCATCTCAAAAATGTATGTGGATGTGTAACTTTGAAGGATTTGATACTCTTGAGTATTTGGTTGGATATTACTGAATTCTGTAAGTTTTTGCATGATGTAATTGAAGGATTTGGTATAGTTTATGGGTTTCCAGTCATAATTTTTCGGAAATCGAACTGGTGAATGCCTTGACGTGAGGAAAAAATAAAATGTATCGTATGTGTCTGAAGCAGGGATATATCCTGTCAATGGATCGACTGTTTGGATTGCGTCTTGTATTAAATGATTGAACATATCGACATTCTCTTCTGGTTTTGAGAATGGATGAGGAATGAAAGGTAATTGCTGCTCTATATCCCTTATTGATAGCTTTATTGCCTTGAACTGAAGATATAACGATGATAAGTAATCGAATTCAAGTGATTTCCAGGATTGATTCACGTGAATTATATTAATATAAAAATATTTCGGATGTTCAGCAAGATATGTTGCCAAATTATTGATCCTCATCAGTAACTCAACTCTTCGCTCCATAATTGAAAGTCGTGAAACCAGTAAATTATTTTTAATTTTGTTAAATTCTCCCAGTAATGTATTGAATTTTCGCCATAAATCAGCATTCAAGAAGTTAAATTTGTACTTTATCGGTTGTTCATCTAATTTATGTGTAATTTTCTGTTCTAATGTGTGAATATCACTCAGTAATTGATTAATCACTGGTGTAAGTTGATTGACAATGTCTTCGTAATAGGGAACTAGTCTCTCGTTAAGGAAAATAGGGTCAGGAGCTAACTCATATTTGATTGGTCTAACGTATAAATCGAAAGAAGGGAATTTGAACTCTTCTGGGATTGGATCATTGGAGTAATGAGGAAGTTTTGCATGAAACATCTCATTTGGAGGTAGTGTTGGCTTTTTAGGCTTCTTTTTCGGAGTAGAACTCATAAATTTTGAAAAAATTGTAAGAAAAATAAATTTTTCTGAGGGTTCTCCAAAATTATGAAGGTTACCAGTATTGAATCGCAAGGTTAATTTAACCTTTGAAATACTTCTTTTTCTCCGTGTTTTGGGTTCACACAGTGATTTGTGGTTCCAAAATGGAAATCTTTCGTGAAATTCAAATTAACAAAATAAAGTAGTATATGAGGGCGGGTTGTGTGACATTTTTTGTAAACATATGATTTCATTCAATATTGAACGATTTTGTATCATTTCTTTTAACATATGATTTTATTCAATATTGAACGATTTTGTATCATTTCTTTTAACATATGATTTTATTCAATTTACACGTTGTCAATTCTTCAAATAATTTTTTATTATTAGCATAATAGTCATTAAATTCTTCAACAGATGAAAAAATTTTTATTTAATGATAAATGAAACCGATTTTAAAAATAAATGAAACAGAGGAGGAAGAAATAAATGAAAGTGAAAATGTTCAACAAAAAATAAACGTTGTTAAACCAATTACTGATATAAAAATTTTTTCTTACGTTTTTTTAGTCATGAATTTGTAAGAAAGTGCGACATTATTAAATAAATTAGTAATAAATATTATATACTAAACACATTTTAAAAAAATTAACATTAATTTTAAAATAATTTATTTTTTATCTTTTATAAAAGAAGCTATATATATAGATGATGTCAGATATTCCGCGATTAATTAAACATTGTTTAAATCCTGAATGGAATCAATGGAGTCATAATCAAAGACCTCATAAACGAGTAAAAGAAATTAGAAATAATTATTTTCATGAATAAAATAAAAAATAAAAAAATTTTTAAAAAATAAACTTTAAAAATTCATGTCTTACGAAAAATTAAAACTTAGTTATGTTTATTATTTTATTTTTTTATTTTGTATGAAATGAGCGTCAAAACTAACGATGTTAAAAATTTAGGATTCACAAACGAGGAAATAAAGGATATATTAGAGGAGGCGGGTTATGAAGTTGATAAATATTATTTAAGAAATTGTAAAAAATTTGCCGAGTTTTTAAATGATTTCGATTATGATGGAAAAATGAATAAAGATGATGTTATAAATTTCTTATATCCCACATCAGTTAGTATACAAGTCTTGGGTACGGCGGCACTGCGTTCCACCTTACCCAATACTTGTGAATTTGACACTTTACAAAGCCGCCACCCACTTCACTAACGAACTCACTAATGTAAAAAATAAACGTTCTCACTATCGTTCTCACTAACGACTTCACTAATGTTCTCATAAATTTTCCTCAATATCTTCATCATCAGTGTTAACCCTATTGTAGTCATACTTGAAGCCATAAACTTTCTCTAACTTCTTAACGTACAATTTACATAACTTACCTTCGTCATCGTATGGTTTAATGATATAACTATTTCTATCTTTATACACAGTCAATGAAAAGTCAACTGGTCTCGGATGTATTTGAAAGAACATGTTATGCTCAGGAAGGAAGAATAAATGTTTAAATGTATGTTTGTTATACTGTGGAATTCGAATGAGTTGCTTTTGTTCTGTCATTTACATCCAAATAAAAATTTTCAGTAAAATAAAAAATAAACTTAAAAATTAATAATATCACCACTCCCACACGTATGAAAACATAGCACAAAAATAAATTTAGGTGAAGTGGTGAGATCTCACCTCTTTTTTCACCCTGTTGAATTCATTGCTTTATAACTCTTCTAGCTTCTTCTTAAGTTCAGCAATGTTGTCCTCATGAAGTTTAATCTTTCTCAAAATTCCTTCTTTATCTAATGGTTGCTTTATCTTTCTAAACTGAACTCTACCATCCTTCATAGTATGAACGTAAAAACCTTCTGGAACCGCTCCTGATTTAATGTATTCTACCAAAAACTTTTGTTTCATTGCTTCAGTGACTTTATTTGTCATTTCAATCAAATAAAAATTTTAATATTAAATAAAAATAACGTTATTTTTTCAGTAAGGAAACGCAGGAGTTTTACGATTTATTTGAGGAGTAGGTTCTGGTTTAAATGTTGGAGTCGGTTTAGGAGTTGACTTTTGAACAGGAGTTTGTACTTTCATAGGTTCAGGAGTCATTGAAGGTTTTGCTTGTGAAGGTGTTGGAGTTTGTTTAACTTCAGCTACTTCAGTATTATTTACAACATTTGCTTTGTTTCTTTTCAACATCATAACTGCTCCTGCTGTAGCTAGCAAACCTAGTGGGAGACCATATCTTATATAAGGACTTGACCAAATGCTATTTTTGACAGGAGCTGGTGGAACACCTAACCTTGGTGAGACTGCTCTTTGCCATTGTGCAGCTCGTAAGAAATATTCAATAGGTGCTCCATAATCGTTTGGTAAAGTTTGTTTCATAGATGGTGAAGGTTCGCGAGAGCTTGATGAAGAACTCATTTATAAGCTTTAAAAATAAACGTTCATCCTTTATTCCTCACTGTCGTCCGTAGCTAAGTTATAGTCATCTAATCTTATTATGGGGATGCCTGACTGTCTTACCTGAATGGCAAAGCAACAATCCCTCATAAATCCAATAAGTGGCTTTGGTACATTTTCAGTTGCTAGTTCAATAGGTCCTTTAACAGACAATTTGTATGTTATTGGAGCAGTAGATGTTTGACCTTGCTGGAAGCAAAAGTCCACTTCTGTTGGAAAACCACATAAGAAATGTGTGTTGTCATAGCTATCCCATTTATGTTCCACACTACCATCATCCACCAATGACCTCATAACATCTTCATTAAATCCTATCATATCATTGTTTGTATTGCAGGCGTTCGCAACCATTTCATAAAATACAGGTCCATATGATTTTTCAGGTTCTGCAGGCATATTTCCATAAGCTCCCATGGAAAGCTGAAGATATTTAAACTTAGGGTTCTCAAAATTAACATAATAGTTGTCTTTCTTTCTAAATAGTGCCCAAATACTTTTAACATTAATAGGCGTATAAGCTGCTGTAAATGTTGCACTTGAACTATCTGTATTCTTTGAGAATGAACCGTCCATAGGAATCCAATCCATAACTTTAACAGGAAAACATAAAGCCTCGTTTGTATAATGTTCTACAAGTTCTGTATAAATGTTAGGGTCTAAAGAGAATGACTTTGGATGAATGAAACATTCATTAAAATCCATCTTTGTTCGAAATAGTTGCTGGGTTACAGTTGTAATAGTAACTGTTCCACTAGCTTCTACTGCCTTCGTTATCATAGTGAATGGTTCATTCCATGGAACAAATTTATTTGTCGGTGGATTTGAATCTGAAGCAAATGCAACTTTAAGAGTTGGATTGAAAGCAATGATATCATTTACAGATATAGATGTGCATTGTAAGGCGTCGCTACTGAACTTTACTTTAAGCTGAATGTTTCCTGCAAAAGCTGGAATAAATCGAATAGCTTCTAATGGAAGGAATCTTCTAACAGGAATTCTTAAACGAAGCTTAAAATCAAATGATTTTCCTGCTGTAATTGGACCACTAACAATTTGTCCTGTTCTGCATGTTCCCGAATGACTCCATACATCTTCATGTCGAGTCTTTGAGAAAACATCTACTTTCTTTATTTGTTCGGTAGTTTGTGAGTTTGAAGTTATATATGCTTCTTCTCTTGCGTTGTCTTGAGAATATACGATACGACCATTTGCAAGGATTTGATATCCAGCAACTGCATAGAAAGCGTCATCGAAACCAATCCAAAATCCTGGTGGGTTTGTTTTATTGGAACCTGAACCAATTTCTTTATCTACAATAAATTGACCTTCCATTTTATACGTAATGAATGTATTGTAAAGGTCCAACATATTTTCACCAGGAGGTGAGAGATTGAATGTTACCCATGTGTTATCTTTAGCAGTTCCAGGTTGTGATGGAATCTTTGCGTCAGAATATTTTCTATTAGTGTCACCAATTTGAACTGCATTGTCTATGATATCGAAATATGAGCGAATCTGATGAATATGCTCTGCTGGAGTAAATTCGTTTAACTGTTCGTTCTGCATGTATTTACTTCAGATAAAAATATCTATTTACTTCATTATTCTCACTCTTCTTCTTGGCATTCGTGGTGGAAGTTGTTTCTTGACATTTTCAATGAACTGTACATTCTCTTTTGTCTCAACTTCTTTCACTGGCGGGTCAGGATTCTTTGACTCGGTTTGTTTTTCAATGAAATTCACGAACTTTGCAATAAGCTCTTGGTTCGTTATTGAAAGTACATCTGGCTTCTTTTCTTCTGGTTCTATTGACTTTTCAGTTTGAATAGAAGGTTAACATGGACTTCGTGGACTTCACCATTGCCATACACCTTAATGTTGTCGCTTTCTGCATTCGCTAATGGAACCTTTCTTTTTCTTACGTATATTTTACCATCTTTACTCTGACTTACGTAATAGAAAGGATGTTGTATTCCTCTTGCGTCATTTAATATAATAGACTCTCGCTCTGATTTTGACAAGCTCATTTTACATCGGTTAAAGTTTTAATTTTGTTTTTTTATCTGCAGTCAAATGACTCAGACAAGCCCTACGGACAAGACCCAAGGGGTCATAGATGTTGAAGCATTGAAGAAAGAAATTCGTGAGCAAATTTTATCCGAACTGAAGGAACAAAAACAAGAACAAAAGCCAGAGAGACCAAAGAGAAAACTTAGTGAAAAACAACTTGCTGCATTAGCTGCTGGAAGACAAAAGAACCCAAGACTACTGGCGAAAAAAGCTAGAGAAGAAGCTGAAGCAAAGAAAGAGTAAATGGTTTATTTTTATCCGAATTAAATGTATAGACAAATACCTTTATCTGTTGCGTTCAGTAGTGAAAACCCTGACGTCAAAATAAAGGGGAACAGAGTAATGTTTAAGTTTCCAACAGACTGGATTGTGAACATAAATGAAGAGAAGTACATTGGCATAACATCTATGTATATAACACGTGCTTTCAGAAAGGTTGACTTTATACTTCAAGTCGAGATAGAAAATGACGAACAGTCTTTAAGCGCCCAAAACATTCACATATACAAATACTTTAAAGACGATACAACGTTAGAAGACTGTATGATTTCATATAATGAGATGTTCGAGAAAAAGTTCAACATTGAAGTACAAACTTTACAGCCTCTACGTGAGTTTCTTGCACAACTGAAAGAAGAAGGTAGTCGGCCACAACTTATAGACTTTCATTATGAATTTAATGAAAATGCTGATGGAACTCATGACTGTCAATTCATTGTATTCTCACCATTCAATGAAGTCGCTAAAGAGAAAGAAAATCCATTACGTATAAGATTTCAAATCTCTGAACCAAGTGATGATTTCAAAAATGTTTTCAATTATGATGCAATGTTTCCGAGGAAAAATGAATTTTCAAAGATTGTAACACCTGGCATTTGGGATAGAAAGCAAGCTATATTATATTCAAACTTAAGTAAGGGAGTTGAAAATGAGTTCATTGGTCATACAAGAACTTCACCACTTCCTAACCTTAAATACTATAAATTAACTGGCTTCAATCGTGAGTTTTGGATAGACATGTTCTCCACTCATGACCATAACTGCCCAGTGTTCTTACCTCTAGACCATAAGGACTGTCTCTACATTGAAGCACAACTCTTAAACTCTACCATCGCAGTATTGTAAATGACCACATGGGCTTCGCCCTTGCCGCTAGCGGCTTATTTTTATCATGAATGGTCTCACTGCTGACAAAAATAAATGACCTCATTATTTTTCGCATTCATGACCTCAGAACTTCAACTTACGAATAAAGCTTGTTTTAGTCGTTATTGAGAAGTTAAACTTCTCTTCAAAGCAAGGTTGACATGACTTACATAAGTCAAATCCAATCTCTTGACCGTCATAAAGTGCTTTGTAAAGTTTCATTAAACTGAACTCAGAGTCTTTGTCATATGTTCCTTGCGGAACCATTAAACCTTTATCTTCATCATAGAAACACTGAACAGAGTCAGGAAACATTTCATTAGCGGTTAAAGCAATAACATCTTGCTTCACGCCTTTCATTCTGCAGTGAAATGCAACTTCATTTAAATCATTCGTGAGTAAGTCTATGTAAGTCTTCTTTCCACAAAATATTGACTTGTATGCTAAACTTTGTTTTCCAGGTGTGATTTCTGCAAAGTCGCTATGAAATTGACCAAGGTTTTTACCAATGAGAACTCTTCCATAACGTTTCTCAAACTCTTCAGCTAAACGAGGGATATCTTCATTGTAGAGATGCATACTGTCCGTATCGCTATAAAAGATGTCCATTCCTAAGTCCTCAGCAGTACAGAATACTTCACACATTATTCTCTTCGACATAGACAGAATGTTAACACCAAGTGGACAGAAGTTAAAGTGTCTGCAAATACTTTTCGTTAGCTTGAAAATAGTTTTATCTGAACCATCCAAACCTTCGAACTTCACTATATGGTTGTAGTTTCTGATGGCATATCTTATAGCATCTTTGTCATTTACTATGGTTATTTTTGACTCAATAGGAGATAGAATAGTTTTGCCATAAATACTGTTCAGAATGAGCTTTATATTTTCTTGCAAAGGATTTCCTTCTTTCTTATACTTTAACCTTAACTCAAACAACTTCTTTACTTCATCTCTTATTCTAATATCTCTGTTTCCATCGTAATAGTATCCTTGCAACACTTCACATTTGACACCTTGATATTTTATGAGGTCTTGTAATGTTATATGGTCAACATACATTAAACAGCAAGTGTTTGAACTTCTGGGAACGTTAAGTTCTGGATTTAGTTCAGGGTCACAAACTATTAAAGGAAAGTGTCTATGTATTCCAATCTCTGTTATCTTAATGAGAACAAAGAAGCCAGACATAAACTTTTCACCAATGGGTTCCTTTTGGTCGTCATCGAATAAATGTCTCATGAGATACTCTGTGCTTAACATTTCTTTCTTCATAACCTTTGGAATACCTTCTAAAGTATAAAGTCTTGCTATAGCTGATGGATATAATGAAACAGCGTCGAAGTCAGCAATGAGTTTCTTTTCGCTCTTTTGTTTAATGTTATCTGACAACATACATCTTCCACCTTGAATACAGCGTGAAATAAATTCTCTTGGTTTATTTGAGAGGTCATATAAATTTCCATTCGGGAAGTACACTCTGTTCTCAAATAATTTGTTAGCAATTGAACAAATACTAACGTAGTCATAAACGTTTAAATCAAATTCTTTCAATATGTCATTGCGGAACTTAACAAAACCTTCTCTTAAAATTCTTACATCTTGTTTGCAATAAAATGTGCTATACTTTTCTAAGTCGAAGTGGTTCTCATCTATTCTGCAACCTTTGATGGAATCTATGTTTTTCATGAATGTATCTGCATCCCGGATAAACTTACATGCTTCAGAAATGACACCAGTTCTGT